GTTTTCTTTGTAGCGGAGAGGATAATGGGCTCAAAGAGACGGAGACGTTTGAAATGGAACAACGAGCTGCAGATATGTGGGTTCACAGAGGCAGAGTTGTTGAATAAAGGGTATTAGATTAGAACAGGTAGAATTTTTGGGTCTTTTAATAGTCAGAAGAACTGAGGAAGTTCTAATGGAATAATATAATGATTTGTGGTGGGTAAATATACAGTATCTCGAAATATAAAAGGCCTGTCTGTTCTATTCTGACTATTCTATTCAAATTAGCTCCGAGCTACGCCACGACTACATCACAGTCACTTTGACAGATATCTTAGAACACTAATCGTCACCTTTGAATAAGTTGCTGCAAAAATCATAATAGAATGGAACACATATACACACTGTACAACAATAGGGCGATCTTTGTTTACGTCTTTGTTCAGATCTTTGTGCGCAGGCGCGACTGGTTGGTTAGCAAGATAAAGTAAAATACCTAATTGTAGAGGGGGAGAAAATCCAAGAAGGTTATTGGGAAATTTACATGCATTTTAACTTCAAAAGGAGCCTAAAAGAGCTTTAAATATATGACATTGAAGTGAATGAAACCCTATATAAGTCTTGAGACATTTGGTTTGACTCTCTTGTGCCCAGGCCACATACATGCTGGGAAGACTCACAATAGGAAGCCCTGGACTCTTCAGTCAGCTGGAGACTTACGATGCTTTTGTATCAAGAAAAGTTGTGCCAATCTCTTCAGTGAAACAGTAAGCTGTGATTGTGCTAAAAGCAGTGGTCAGACCTGGTCACAGGCACAGCGTGATTCACATCTCCTCTGGGTGATTGCCAAGGAGAATGGCGAAATCGTTACTGCAACTGCACAGTCGGGTAAGTCTTCATTGATCAGTATCACTCATTTATGTATGTATTTATTTTTGGAGATGTAGTATTAGTGGCTCTCAAAAAAGACAATGACTAAAAAATTTTATATTAAGCAAATTTGAAAGTGTAGGATGAACTTCGCTGACAAACAGTCAACTGTCAATCCAGGATTTCTTCTGAGCGTCCCGGTTTAATCTCCTGATCACCCGCGACATTTTTTTTTTTTTTTTTTCAGAAAAACCTTTCATCAGGGCCGTCGAATGAACCATCTGCTTTCGCTAAATCCTCCTTCAAATGTCCAAAATAACCAAACTATAAATAAGATATTAGGGCTGGGCGGTATAAACGGTATAAGCGGTATGCGGTATAAATTTGGCCCACGGTAGAGATTTTTGTTATACCGGCATATTGCGATAGGTCATTATGTCATCAAATTGCGCAGGCTCTGACACCAGCAGAAAGCACCAAAACAAACCGGCATTCAGCAGCATTAGCCTAGCAGCTTTAGCCTAGCAAACACCACTAGAAACAACAGCACGGCTTTCACACCGTTTTTCTGTCTCTGTATTGGTCACAGCGGCCCCAGCGGAGGTAAATACACACACAGCAATCACAGTTTACATGTCTACCTTTCGGCCAATGAGTGTCAAAGGGGCGTAGGCTCGAAGCGCCATCGTGAGCCGAAATAGATCCATGCTTGTGCCGTGTCCGCATCATCTCAGAAGTTTTGTAAAGTTAGCGTCCGATTCAGACTTCCGCGGTCCATAGATCACGAAAGCTACTTTGTTAAACAAAATTAATTGTGCCAAAATGAGCATTTACATCAATTGTTCAAATCAAATGCGCTGTTTTAATGCAGATAAATCCATTGAATCATCCAGTTCACAGCAAGCACTTAGGGAGCGTCAACAAATGGCAAGACTAGCTTTGTAAACGAACAATAGCTTTTACTGAAGCCATGCATACGCACTAAACTCTGACACTATAAATAATGACCATGTCTAACTGCTACAGATATTATATAATGTATTTTATATTTTTATATTATTTAAAATTGCTTTCACAGTTAATGGTCTTTACTGTAACATACATAAATAATGTATGTTACAGCATTTGTCTCTCACCTGATTTTCAAACTCAAAAAATATATATCAGATTCTAATGTATAGATAAGTAACAATCTTGACTATTTTATGCAAGAACCTGCTAAACCTATATTGAAATTCACACACCAAATTATACCGTGATGTATACCGTCTACCGTCTGTGACCCAAATCATACCGCGATATGAATTTTAGGCCATATCGCCCACCCCTATAAGATATGCTCTTTTTTGCCATACAATCATATGACACAGTGCTGAAATGAATTAAACAAACAATGACGTCACGGAAGATCCTCTTTTTGCAATCAATGAATGCCAGTAAGAGCACTGTTACTAAAAGGACTTTAGGAATGTTTCCAGAACGTTCTTCAGAATAGAATTGAATAAAGAATTAGAGCGAAATGAAGAACCTCCACAACAAAAAGATGAATATTCCAAACAAAAGCTCTGTACTCTGAATAAAGATACTGTCTTTATCAAAATAAAATGTGTCTAAAAGTCCATAATTACAATTAGTAGGACAACAACCGGCACCTAAAATCCCCAAATCAAATTATTTTCTCAAGTCTCAATACCGCAGAATAAAACGTCCTTACTAGTCATGAGAGCTACACTGCAGAAAACTGGCTGTGGGCTAAACCTGGGATTGGAAAGAGCGGCGTCTGGTCTAAGTGAGTTTCACACATTAGGAGCAGGTGGACTGATCTGCCAGTTGAAAAAGACAGTCCAGTCGGGTTAAACTTTGAATAGGGCCGAAAGAGGGGAGGAGGTGTTAACACATGACCCAGTGGTTTAGGTGGGAGCTGAGAGAAAGGAGCAATGATCCGGCCTCATTATTTCTGCACTGTAGAAGAAAGAAGAAGAAAGTGGGGGAGAGAGCATTTAGTGGAAGAAAGTCTTTTGAATTAGGTTAAACTCGCCGCACAAAGGCTAGGAATGTGAATCGTCAATACTACATTAAGAAATACTGCTTTCTGCTGCTGAAGTTTATTAGTCATTGTGGTTTGGCATTTGTGATATTCAATTAGAAGATACTAATTTATTTGTGAAAGATTAGGAACATCTTACCGTAGTAACTCAAAAACAAATTAGATGAGTGCTAACAGTAAGTTGGGGCCATTGGGAAAAGATTATTTATAACTGTTTTTATGTCAGTCCTATTGAAAACAGCTGTATAATTTAACGTAATACAGCAACAACTCGTATAAAGACAAAACTTTTATAAGGTAGTGTGATTGCATTGGCCTCTGCAGGGCAATATGAACATACATATTTCTATTCTCAACGGTAACCAGACGTGACAATGCAAATGGAGTCTCCAGGATCACCAATGATATGCCTGCTTGTCTTAATATTCAATATGTTCTTGTTATTGTCTGCCTGGATTTGATCGTGTTGCCTGTCACGGTTTATTTTCATTATCTCTGAGATTGGGATGTGATGTTCAACAGGCAGCGATCCTCCTAAATGGCAAGCCGTTCATATTACAGGGTTATAGCTACTGTTATTGGAGCCACCCAAATCCAAACCAAATATTGTGTTTCATTAGGTGGAGACACATCTCAGTCAATTCCCCTCACACGTATCTTTTTACAATTTTTGTTTACCACATTAGGTTGAGACAAATCAGTGACCCAATTAAGAGAGGACACTGAATGAACCCACTGTCATCTGTTTGTGTGGCTATGCTGTTGCATACAGAGATGCTTCAGGTGCCTTAGCATAGTATTGTATTATTATAATGATGACCCCATAATCTTTGGCACATCTTGTATTGTATTGCCAGTCCCTCTAAAAGACCACGATAAAAAATAGCAGTAAATGACATCAATGAATAACATTGAGGATCCAGGGTATGTAGCATCTGCTGTTATATCCATCTATTTTCTCTCCAACATTCTGTAATGAATTAAGATATTGTGTTAAACGACCCGAACACAAAGAGTTTCTCACTCACAGCCACACAAAACAGTCAGTAATTCATGTGGCAGTGCGCACAGCAGCCACCCCAGCGGAGACGCACACCAAATGACTACAGAGGGTCACAACAGCAGCAGAATCGTTGTCAGCCTAAATGTGCTTTGAATTCACCCAAAAAGAAACGCACCTTTATTTGCACGCCCCAGAATTTCACAGTGGAGATTGCAACCTGGGAGGGGGCGACAGTAGCTCAGTTGGTAGAGCATTGGCCTTTGGGCCTGAAGGTCGTGGGTTCGAGCCCACCGTAAGACCTACTTCACGACTCCCACTGATGACTGCTGTCGTTGTGTCCTTGGGCAAGACACTTAACCCTACTTTGCCCAAAGCCCCAACTGAAAGATCTCAGCTCCTGTGGACTCACCACCTGCAGGAGGATCAGTGAGGGGCTGGTGCTCTGTGGACTGGGTGCAGCTCTAACTGCCACCCCCCGACCCAGAAATGGATTAAGGGGAAGAAAATGGATGGATGGATGGATGGAGATTGCAACCTTTACTTTGCAACTCCAAGGTCATAGCCGAGCGCTGTTTGTCAGTCAGAACGATTGATTGACGAATGTAGAGAAGCACCTGCCATGCTGTTTTCATATTTACGCATCAATAGACACGCACATGGATGGACACGCGTGGATTTCTTTCCAGTTCAGGTCAAGTGAATAACCAAAGTACCTCAAATAACAAAACATGGCATCATGCTTTAGAATCTATAAATCGTCTCTGCAGATATAGTCTACAACTCAACACCACGCATGTGTAGACTATACGCACAGGCGGGTGCAAGGGAAATAATAGAGCTGAAGATGCATGGTTGATTATTAGTTGGCGACATATCCCTTATAGGAACGACGCCCATCCAGCCACAGACCACTGGACTGCTGTGCGAGATATACCAAAGCTTCAGTGAAACAGTCGCAGCAGGCCACATTCCCATGAGCATCCGTGAGAACCAAAGTGAGCACTGTGGCGAGATCGCGGGGAGACACATTTGCGACACGTCTATACGCATATTGGCAACATGTAACGCAATACCATAAGATACGCTTCCAATGCTTACCGTGAGTGCAGCGGAACCAATTGGGGCTGTGTGCATCCAGCGCAGTCAAGCCAGCGTTAGAATTCCCCAAATCGGACAGGCTGGCTGCCAACCCGGAGCAAGATGTGGCTGTCCTTTTCTGAAACGTGTAGAAAAGCGCGTCCTTCAAAAGCGAACAGTTGGCGTGATCGAGCACATATCCCAAAACAAGTCCAAAAAACGCGAACCCGCTGGAGAGGTGCAGCAGCGGCAGGGCTTTCTCTCTCCCCTCTCTCCGTGCGTATAAGCCTTCCCGTTCCCCCTCTCTATAGCGCTTTCTCAGACTTGGATGCGTCTGTGTGCCAAGGTCCAGGGACGCACGCTCACGCAAGAAGAGAGAGGGGCAGGCAGAAGAGAGCAGGGTCACAAATGACAAACCAATTTGGAGCCGAGGTGGATGCTCGGTTGGTCAGCCCCAGTGTGGAGGAGAGGCGCGTTGCATTGCGTTGCAGGAGGGCCGAGAGAGTTGGCGAAGGTGGGCGTGAAGAAGGGAGTATAGGAGGAATGAGGAGGGGGCTGTCACCGAGTCATCCGCTTGTCTGGATGGAGGATGCGGATAGCGAGAAAGAGAAGGGAAAGAGGGGAAACTGCACGGAGCGGGGAGGAAAACACGGAACTGGATTTGGCGCCAAATTATCTGGAGTTAGAGCTCCACCTACCGTATCTGTGTGGGCCACTGGTGTGAGCAGGAGACCGCCGTTTGTAGCAATACATGAACTGAAGGACAGTGCATGGTTATACCCAAGGCTGTATTGCTTATAATCAGGTTAAGAAAAATACAAAACGTTGTGCGCATGACCAGTAGCCCATTTGAAATTCTTTTTTTATAAGTAATTACCAACATATTACCATTTCTGTTGTTCCCTATGCCTTCTTGGCATAAAAAATAAAAGTATTTGTGTTGGCCATTCCCTTACCAAAGGTCATAGGACATAGCTAACTCTTCAGGTGTTGGGATTTAAAGTTCACATGACTGCCACTTGGCCACACTGGCATTACTGTCATGGAGACAAATGGGACAGGATTACCTCCAGTATACTTCTTCACAGGGGATGAGGAAGAGGCTTCAGTGCCTCAAGATCAGAGGGTGACATGCGCACTGCAATGCTCATTGCCAGTCGCGGGCATGACGCTTGGGAATAAAACATGCATAGCTCGTTATTTAGAATCTGATTGTTCCCTGATGTTGTTATGACCTTTTCTTCGGGGAGAGTGATTCCTCCATCAGCAGACTCACCTCATCCTGAAGGCGGAGCTGTGTGGAGACCTGTTGATCATCCAGTGGCTGCGATGGAGGTGAGCGGTGTGTGAGACTCCATGACGTCCGTGTCCTCTATGCGCCTCAGCGGAGATTAGAGGTTGTTTCATATAGGCTATGGCATGTCAAATCATCTTGTAATCACTAATCAGTGTCAGGGATGATTTTTAAAGTAGTGCTTAGCATCAACAGGTAGATACAGGATACAGCGTGAAGGACATCAAACACTTAAAAGTAGCCTGCATAAATCACGCGCACCTAATTCGATTCCTTCTTGTCCTTTTGTAAATCAAATCATGTCATTGGCCTGGTGCTTTAAAGCAGCACATGCTTTGCTTCAAGTTAAAATGGTCGGGAGGCCATGTGTCGCTGTTAATTAGCATCACAGGCCGATAAAGCCGTTTGGAGTCCTTTTAAATCCTGCTAAAGAGCATTAGGCGACAAGCAAGGCGCTTGTAGCAAACAAGCACATTGAATGTCCAGGTAAAATGATTAATACTTCCCGAGAGCGCAGAGAATAAAGCATGGAGGGCTTATTATGGATCCGTGGTCACAAAGGCAGACAGACCGATGTAATAAACATGTCAGGCAGATCTATAGGAGAAAGATCACTTTCACATGGTTGTGTTTGCATGTTGCAGGTGTTGTAGAAGAAGGAATACGATTCACCACCAAAGCACAACTGACTGCAATGGAAATTATGGGTAAGAACTAGAAGAACACACTTTCTAATCTAAATCTTTTTCATGTAACAGAAACCCAGTAACAAAACAAGTGGTGAGTATGACCCTGGTATTGTTGCACATGAGTACAGAAACAGGCCTGCTACAGAGACATTTTGGGTCAACTTTGTCACAAGCCTGATTTCCTCCAGTTCAATGACAGCTATTTCTCATACTGATTAAGTATATTTCAAATGAAGTTCAATAGACGGTTAATACATTGTTTGGTTTGACTATAAAAGTTAAACAGTATCTGGTCCTGAAGCACCCTCATAATGTAATATTTTGGACAAGGTTTGGTATTTTTTTGTATAAAAACAACAACCTTTTTAATCCCTTTCACATTTTAATGTTTATCTTCATCTTCCTGTTGTAAATGTGTGTGCAGATACTCTGTGTGCTCTTGAGGCTGTAGAGAGACTCCAGGCCAAACTAAATGGCAGAGGGGAGGCATCCATGCAGGACAAGCTCTTTGTGCTCAGGACAGTTCTGCAGAGCCCCCTGTTCCACCATATCCTGGACCTCCAGAAGGCTCAAAGGAAACCACAGCCGAAGGTAGGCTGTCATACTGTTCACAGGAACATTTGTGTGGGTGCTGCTGAAAGTAGTTTTGTGGAATCAAGGCAGTCGACAGAATCAAGCCCAAAATTCTCATCCAGTATTTGGGATGAGTAATCAGCTTACCTAAGCTTAAGTTAAAGCTGTGAGAGAGGAAGGATGTAGTGACTACAATTCTTCAAGGAATCATCAGCATCAAAATTAAAGATTACTTTTATTGATCCTCTCTCCACCATAGGCATTGTTACCATGACATAATAGACACAGTATCTGCCATATAGAGAGGTAAAACAAACATACAAAGTATAACGACATAAAAAAGATCATCTCTCATAAAAGACTATGATCAGCATGTGTTATTGATTTATTTTTATTTTATCTTTACCAGCCGCCTTTAACTCCTCTCTCTGCTTATATGCACTGTGCTCCACTGTGCTCCATAAACCTCTGGCTAGCTTGCATTACTCCTCCTTCCAACTGCTCTCTCCCATATCTCTTCCTCAATGCCTCTCCCAACTTCCTCATCCTGTCTATTTCCATTCCCTCCATCACTTCCACCAGCTCGTCCTATTGGTCTTTGTCTCCATATCTTTCCCCTTTTTAAATGAATGTCTCCAAGTCTATATCAAAACCCACTTCCATGCCTCTTTATCTCCATCATCCATTTCCTTCCCAATCTCTATTCTCACACATCCCTCAATCTTTTTCTCATTTATCCATCCCATTTCTATCCAAGCCTATTGATTTTTTTCTACTCACATCCTCTCCATTTTTACCCATTTTAATCTTCCTCTTCTTATCAATGCTTGTTCAATTCTACCAGGGGAAGGGCATTTCCAAGTCTGTGTCAATGAACTGTGGAGCGTGCCCTGGCAGCGCTGTGGGTCTAAAGACTTTGAGCCACAGTGATTCGTACACCTGGGCCATAGAGAACCGCAGGCCGAGTCACCCCGAGACCATGCATGGAGAAGGCAGTGGCTCCTCTGTGGGCTTCCAAGAGCTTTCTATCTCCGATATCTACCCGGATGCTCATGCACATACGGAGTCGCAGGTATGGGGGGTGCAGGGCATGGTGTGTTAATGTCGGTGTATCCAACTTAAAAACCATAAACAATGGACCTATATAATGAAATCCATGACTATATTTTTTAACCTTAACATGTTTGCACAGTTCCGTCTTTTGCACAATCTGAGTGATTCTATCTATGCCAAATGTGAAGTGTAAATTTCTCCAGTGTGAGATCAATTGAGTCTATCTTATCTTATCTTATCTTAACAAGTTTGATGCTCTAAAAAGAGTTTGGTTCTATCATCAGCTTTCACACCCACGTACTGTATCGCAGATTTAATTTAAAGTGCTTTATTTGTAAATACAGAAAGAATATTAGAGTTTAGTGTTTCACAGGTGATTTCAATGTTTTTTATAGCAGTAGATATGAGTTTTCATTTTGTATTTTTATTAGTACTGTACTCCACCAAGACTCTCTCGGACTATGTCAATGGGAAGAAATCTGTCTGCTATTGCACATGAGGTAGAGTTGGGGAAGAGTGTTATTATTCTGTCCATGTTGCACCATGTACATGCACTTTCTTACAATCTGTATGCTGTATCCATGTTTAGAGACGACATTTGGAAATTGTGGAGCTCATAAATGACGGGAAAGGCCTTGGCTTTGGCATTGTTGGAGGGAGAAGCACAGGAGTCATGGTCAAGACTATTCTTCCTGGTGGAGCTGCTGGCCAGGTACGTCCGTCTGTATAGAGTAGGAAATAAATCAATAAAAAAGGTACTTTCATATTTCTCTGTTTGCAATTAAGTGAAATGATTTTTGACTGCAGGATAACCGACTTCATAGTGGAGACCAAATTCTTCGTATTGGAGATACAGACCTGGCTGGCATGAGCAGTGAACAAGTAGCGCAGGTTAGACTCAATGCAACAAAATTTAATGTTTTTTTCCATATTTAAACCTAATTCATTGTCCATTATTAATATTAGCATTAGCGTTTACATGAATAAGTTTGTGAGTCTCGACCCTAGGGTATGAGTAGTGCACTTAAACTGTATAGCAGTGTTTTGATTTCACCATAATTTTAGATTTTTTGTTTATGATTGTATGTATTGTTTTACTGTAGGTAATGCATTGAAATGTGCCAAAACAACTGGGCAATTCTCACTTTATTGTATCTTGTGTAGGTGCTCAGAAACGCAGGAACCAAAGTCAAGCTGCTCATTGCCAGAGACACAACAATAGACATGCATCGGTTGTCTCCTGATCTAAGTCATGACAGTGCTGACAACGAGGTAATTTCTTCTTTATACACATCACATTTAACAAAACATCTTTTAACATGATTTTTTTGTTGCTTTTTTGCAGCCACATGACCCTGGCTGTGACTATGAATTCAGTGTGCAGTATACTAAAAACAAACATGGTTTAGGGTTTACTATCTCAAGCTACACTGGTGATCTAAACTCAGGTAAGAGTGATTATACTGTAACTAACATATCAATATGAATAATTGTCTTATTTTGGTTATATTTAGTTTATAGTGCTGGAGTGGTGGTAAAGAGCATCCTGAAAGGCAGCAGCGTGGATCAAGATGGCCGCATCCACATTGGTGACATCATTCTATCAGTAAGTTCCAACTGTTTATTGTTGTCCTTCAATCAATCAAGATTTTTTGTCGAGCCCTTACACACAGAAAGTGGGCAAAGAGCACAAAAACATGTAAATGAAATATATCAAATACATTATAATACAAATATGTAATTGCAAGACTAAAATCTCTGTATATTCCATGAATAGCTTAATTCTAACCATTTCTGCCTCTCATAAATCTCACCACTAAGACACTTTCCTTCCATCCCCAGACATTCTAACTCTTTTGGTCTGAGGACATTGATCCATGACTTTTATCCATTTTCCGCAATACATATGAACATAGGTAGCTGGGAAACCTAACTTTCAAACAACACACAATAGAACTACTGCATATAATTTTAAAATGCATTAGTGGTTCAGACATCCTCGCTCTCAAAACAGTTCGGTTCAACCTCTGCATGTGCTTTTGGCCCCTATCACATCCTTAGATCAGCTTTTTACAGACAGAAAAGTGAAAAGGAGACGACCGCCCTCAGCTTTCAGGTTTTAGCCCAAAGCGTCAAAAAAGAAGCTCGCACCGGTCTTTCTTCTCTTTTTACTTTTACAAGACAAAAAAACTTGTTTGATCGGTTTGTCTTCATGAACCAATGACTATTCCATTCTCTTTGTTTTATTCTTTGGTTTTCTAATCTTTTGGAAAATCACAAATTCTTGGACATGAGACTTTGAGACTTGGAAATGTTGAATACCTTTGCTGTGACTACTGTGATTAGTTACATTTACACATATTTATGCCTTGCGTGATTGTCTCTATATTATTCTGTTCAGCACTTTGAGTTGCCTTGTGTATGAATTGTGCTATACAAATAAATATAAGTTGATTCAATTCAAGTTAATGTATTCTTGTAAAGCCGTTAATCACAACATTAGTTATCTCAGAGGGTATTATAAAACCGTTGACCATAGATCAGAGAATCAGACGGTTCAAAAACAGGAAATGCAATGATAAAAAAACACATTGGTCCATAAGACGACCAATGTTGATAAATATCCATAAATGTGTTCAAACATTTCAGGTGGATGGTATGAGCTTGCACGGCTGCAGTGAGCAGAGAGCCATGGAGGTGCTGCGGAGGACAGGGCTGGTGGTTTGTCTGAGGCTGCTGAGAAAAGCAGTCCTCCCCCCTGTTCCCCCACTTCACCCACTCAGACACTCCCGCAGCTTCCAAGAGGGCAACCCCTACAAAGTCAGCCTCAACAGGATCACAGAAACAGGCAAGACATTTCATATTTGTTTGTGTAATTTCCAGTAGATCAAAGATAATATGTCTGTGTATATCGGGGGAATTTATAAATCTAAAATAATAACACAATTCACAAGAGGTTGTATATCATTTGCCTATGTTCTGATGTCTTTAATATTAACTCAAGACAAAAGAATCATTTTGTATCTTTTGTGTATATTATTATAGTATTCCCTGAAGTTAATTATGTTGTCATGTTTTTGTTCTTTTGTCGTTGTGCAGGAGTCAGCTCTCTTCGTGAGATCTCATGGCGAGTAGCCTTTGCCAACAGGAAACGCCCATTTGAATCCAGAAGTGGTAAGAAAACACTTCCTGTCCCTGCCACATCCAAAAAGCACTTCGAAGTAGATTTTTGCTTCTTCTTGCAAACAACTCAAGAGATGTCAGTTTGATGGCAAAGGCAGCCCTTTGATGAGAGACTATTTATAGTGCCATGCAGTCATCTGTTTATCCAACTCATTCAGCTCATTCCAGATGATTTATCTCCAAACTCCGCCTGCATACATACTTTTATTTAGAGAAGCATTTTGAGGACTTGATTAGAGAGAGCACAGCCAAACAGCTTTAATAGAAAGTCAAACATTCGTTTGCCAAGAACTACTGATGGTGGGTGGGAACATGTTTCTGTCTGCAGTATTGAAGACCTCTCTGTGCACATTCTACCTCATACTTGTAGAGTGTTTAGTTGATATGAGCAAGATGTTTGATAAATGCAAAACTAGCGTCCTTTTATAGAGTCTATTGTGTCACAGATTATTTAGACATGTTCATCTGTATTTTGTTTGTTAAGGAGGAAAATTGACATCATCTGAAGAGGAGAAAGTGAAGAATAGATGGCAGCAGGCTCTTGGACTGCGATATGAAGTCATAGTAGGTCTTTCAAAGAGATATTGTATTTCAGTGTAAACTGGAAGTTTTTGGTCAGTTATTTATCTATTTTGCATTTGCTCAATTCCACAATACTGAGAGCGGCAATTTTTCAATGATTTAGGATTACTTTCTACACAGTCAGACGTTACATAAACAACTGTCTTTCAACACGGTTGGAAAGCCCAATTTATGATATTATTGCAAAGATAGAGAAACACTGATGCCGTCTTCATCAGGACATAGTGTTTGTGAGTAAAGGTGCGGTGTCACATGTGAGATTCCACATTATTACAAATAGGTAGAAGAATTTACACAACATAGGGAAATGGAAAAATAATTATGACAACCTCCAACCTCTCAGATAGGTACAAAAGGTTTTAGTAAAAACAAGGACATCAGCTGTACTTTTAATAAACTGTCAGAGCTGTTTAAAGTGAGGTCGCAGAAACAAACCTTGACATTATAATAAAAAAGGCTAAATCAATATCCTTGTTTAGACAAAAATTAGGCTTCTCAAATGACTTCAATTTGTATGACCGGCATTCATGAAGTTATGGCCTTGGAAGCTTCTGATAAGCTGACAAAATGTGAGTTATTAATAAGACCTTGTGGAGATGTTGGTAGAAACTGGTTTCACCATTGAAAGTAAAATGGGTTGTGTACAAACATAGATTCAATGGCCGCTCTGTAAGGAAGATGCCATTTCTCCTACATAGAAAGCCAGAATATCAGAATATACCGTAAATAACATAATGCAAAATCAATTAATGCAAAATTGCAAGACAGATACAAAGAATTAAAGCTTGGGTGAAAATGGGCCTTCCAATGGCCATTTCAGAGCCCTATTCTATTCTATTTCAAAAGGCATGAAAAAGTGAGGTGGCATACTAGCCTGGCTTAATTACAAGACTTCTGTCCGAGTAATGGGCCAGATTTCCAATCATCTACATCGAGAATTTTGTGGAAGCTTACCAAAAATGTTTTATCAAAGTCAAACCATTTTAAAGGCAACTCTACCAAAAGGCTAACAACATGTGTATACTCTCAATATTGTGGTATTGATCAAATAGAAAAAATAGAGAAAAAAAAACACTGTATCTGAGCTGGCCCTTATTATAAATAATATATTTTGTTATAGTTACTATACGTACTATAGTTATAGTACGTATAGTAGACGTGGTACATAAAATGGCCATATCATTTTCTGTAGGTGTGTCAGCTGGAGCGCTTCAGTGAAACCAGCGGCCTGGGCATCAGTCTTGAGGCCCGAGCCGGACATCACTACCTGTGCTCCGTGTTGCATGAGGGGCCTGTGGGACAATGTGGCAAGATTTCCACTGGAGACCAAATATTAGAGGTATGCTAGTACCGACAATAAAAAAGCTATTATTACCAGGTCCTGCGATGTGTTACATACTTGCCCGCCTGCCTGCTCAAACTTTGCCTGATGATTGCCTCTTGACAGAATTGACTTGTGATTGCTCTAAATGTTGAAATGAATGTCAAGATTGCGGCTCGATCTAAAGCTCACGTCGCACATTGCTTTTTAGTAAATGCCGCACAAGTTCAAGTGCCTTTAGAAACTTTTTTTTCTTTTAACAGCAGCAAAATTTCTGTCGGCAGAGCGTGGGAGTGAGTTGCTTCTGTATGTCAGCAAAGCCAGCTCACACACCCACATGCATCACTCATCATGACGAGCACTGCTATCAACTTCACCAACTCTGTGCAAATTCTCAACTTAGTTACAGACGATACATGCCTTTTTATTTTTGTCAAAAACATCATTATCTTATGTTATCTCTGCTCATGTGAATCATCATCAGAGGACACAAGTGCGACATGCGCTTTAGTTTTCCTGTCTAAGAGTGGCTAATTGCTCGACGACCTTACAGAAGTGCCATGGTAAAGGGAGAGATGCGTCTTGCTATATATAGACACTTCATAGACACGCTTGGCACCCGCAATTATGTATAGGTGCTCTCCAGTTTTGGGTTCAGGTCGAGCATTAAATGTTTTTAGCAAAAAATGTGAACCAAGCAGTGTATGTATTTCTGTTTTCTACACTGAAACATTCTCAGCTGAAACATAATGTATTTCAATAGTGTTAACACACACATGCACACACAAACTGTTCATGAACATATCTATGCCACAAAATATAAGATATCCCATTCCGTTTGCTGAAAGGCATATAGGAAGATTTTCCCAACTATTAGGAAAGAACCGCCCTCTCCACTTTTTGAAGGAAACTCTCTGGTCTTATTTGACGAGCACATATCACCAAAATAATTGACAATTGGGAGAAACCAAATATCTTGATGATCCACTCAGAAGAAACAGACACCCAGCTCTACCTTTCTGCTAAATCCATCTCCTATAAATACAGTACATTTCACTCAATCAACATCAGCAATAAAACGCATTAAAATTAAAGATTATTTATATTTTTGTTTGTTTGGATGGTACAGTGCGTCTTTAGATAGATAGATACTTTATTGATCCCGGTAGGAGAAATGCAGGTGTCCAGTAGCAGCAAAAATAAAATTGATCATTCTAAAAGCATAATGATAGTGATAATAATAATCAGCAACAGCCCTTTAGGTCAGTGTTTTTCAACCTTTTTTGAGCCAAGGCACACTTTTTTCACTGAAAAAATCTTGCGGCACACCTCCAGGAGAAAATGTAAAAATGTATACAGTACTAATGTAAAAAAATATATACTGTACATACTCTGTGTGATATATAAAGTATATCTTATCTTATAATGTATACAGTATACTCTGTAGCCTATATTCACAATATACAGTTATTCTCATCAAAATGCTTAAGTCCAGGCCTTGAAATTAAGCTTTATTTAATATTTCTCGATACAATTAACAAGAGTTTGGGAATAAAGTGGCACTAACTGTGTGGAAAAAAACTAAGAAAATCCACTCTCTGCCCAAATAGTCAAATAATAACTCACACAAAGAACATGCATTGTAAGTGCATGGGAAACATTTTGGTATCCGAGCTTTAAATTCAGGAGTTTTGGATGAGGGACACGGGAGGTCCTGAACGCGAGTCCATGGTTCTGTCCGGTCCGCATGTCTGTGGTTCTGTCCACTCGACTATGGTCTGCGCTCGGTACCCAGTTCAGAAGTGCGTTCGCGAGGCTGTTGTACAAAAATCGTACATTTCATAGTTAAACCACTACAACGCGGCCACAGCTGCCCCGGGGAAGAGCGGAGGATGTTAATCCTGTTCAGAAACGGCATAATTCATTTTCAAAAACGTCTCTATCACTTTCACTTCTCACTCGCCACAAAGCTCTTGTCTCGCTCCCTCACACATTTGTTGGTCGCATCCAATTTTACCTTTCTCGCCACAATGCTGACCTGTTACAGCCAGTGGTCGCATCCAATTTTTCAGTTTCAAAGTACTTAGCTATCTGCTGCCATCTACTGATTTGAAAAAGTATTACATGGTTACTCACAGTTCAAAACAAGTCACCACTCGTCAACAGCGAATACAGCTATTTTTAGACAAAGTAGACGAATTTCTCACGGCACACCAGACAATATCATACGGCACACTAGTGTGCCGCGGCACAGTGGTTGAAAAACACTGCTTTAGGTCACAGCAGCATAGGTGGAGTAGCCTTTAGGTGGAGCATGACGGGTCACAGCAGCACAGATGGAGTAGCCTCTGGGTGGAGCAGGTCAGGTCGCAGCAGCCCATATTGAGTAGCCTCTGGGTGGAGTAGGACAGGTCAGAGCAGCATAGATTGAGTAGCCTCTGGGTGGAGCAGGACAGGTCAAAAGGTGGAGTACCCGCTTGATTCGGACCTTTTTCTCTGCTCTAGTCCAAAGTAAAATGCTAAATGCTTCATTAGCATTTTTCAAAAAGTTAGCATTCCTCCAGTGGATTTTCACCTGATCCTCTTGGTTCGGACCATGAATTCTCTCCGCTCCGGTCTGGACCAGTGTAAAACCATGAACACTGTACTGCAGCAACATCTCAGGCAGAAAAAAGCAATACATTTTTTTTGATTAAGCACAAAACAACAACTGTTTTAGAGCTACTTAGGACTTGCAGCCGTTTCCAGGCGCATCGTTAAAAAAAAAAGCAGCGCACAAATATTAATTATTATTCTTCTATTCAGGTGAATGGAATCCCTCTGATTGGTGCGAGCCATAAGGAGGTGGTCCGTATTTTGAAGGAGCTGCCCGTGCATGTGTGCCTGGTGTGCTCGCGGGTGAAGCCCCCCACAGCTGCTGACAGCGACCAGGAAGATGAAGACGACATCCAGCTCACCCTCAAAGAGCTTCTGGCTGAGTTTAATGACAAGGTTCACACGCCATCACACTGCAGAGGAGTTTAGCCTAACTATCCATGTGTCTGCTAAGCCATGGGTGCTCAGTGCCCAGGGTGATAAATGCAAAACCGGAGCTGCGCATTTTGAGCTGGCGGCACACACATACTGCGTTTACGAGTCAAAGGTGTGCATCAAATCACTCAAAGCCTCTTGTGCTTATTCCAAAAGGGCCGCTGCTCAACTCTGTTTTGTCACAGAGAGAGGAGCAGAAAGCGGCTGCGGCAGAATCCTCACGTACAATACCCAAGGCCGCGCATACATATACACACACAGACTGAGTTTAAATGGGGAAGAAATTTACCAAGTGGCGGGACTGAGCCGCTGGATGGATGGGAGTTGTTTCAAACAAGTACATCTGACAAAACATTTCACCAAACCTCTGTAGATGATCACTGCACATGGCCCTGTGCAGTTATGACATTTACAATATGAGAAACACAAAGCTTTTATTGGATATAGAAACAGAGACGTTGTCAATGAATCACCCGACAGGCTTCTGAGAAAGTGGATCTTGGTTGGATGAAGTCTGGGCTCCCCTGTGAGACATAAACCATCTTGAACCTTTTGCTTTATTATAATACTCAGTGTTCTTATTTTGAACATGTTATATTTATCATCTGTCCATGTTCTCTCTGACTGTACAAGCCTTACAGGGCAGTCCTTATGTATTATTTTCCTTCCTCCTGGATTTTCTAGTTGGACCACGGATGTGTGATCCCCTGTCCTACAGCCGAGGACATCACGAAGCGTGGAGTGCCCCCCATGTCACCCCCCCTGGCCATGTGGGAGCGGGAGGCGGTGCTGGTGGAGTTGGAGAAAGGCGAGTCGGGCCTGGGCTTCAGTATCCTGGACTACCAGGTCAGGCACACTGCCCTGAGCCACTCCACAAATAGAATTAGCTCCAGCCTTTTAAGAATATCAGTGTCAGGTCACATAGGGTGAAATTAAAGAAAACTGATAAATTACAATGTTACTTTTATATCTGAATTTAATAATGTATACAGGGCTTACATAATACAAGACAGTTTAAATCATTTATTTAACTTTCATTCATTCATTATGTTGCCAAAATACCTCGATTTATCTGGTGTAATTTTAGAAGCAAGCAATTAACTGAACAGATTTGCTGTGTCCGTTAGACAGAACTCTGAAATTTTCTTCTATAAATGCCAATTCTAGGACCCAGAGGATGCCTCGAAGACAGTGCTGGTGATCCGGTCTCTGGTACCTGGAGGTGTAGCAGACAAAGATGGCCGCCTGCTTCCTGGAGACAGACTCATGTTTGTGAATGAGACCGACCTGGAGGGCTCCAGTCTGGATTACGCTGTTCATGTCCTTAAATCCACCAACTATGGTCCTGTTCACATTGGAGTAGCAAAACCTCTTCCAGTAAGAAATCATATTTTTGGAACACATTTGCAAAAGTTCAAATTTAGGTTATGAGGGTTCATGAAGAGTCAGTAATGAGTAGTATGTATTAATAGTACGTTATTATAAAGAGTAATTTTGTTATGCCGTAGAGAATCTATTTTATTTGAAGTTATGGACACTAAACTATTTTATTTTTGGCCTTGTCTGTGTCCTTGTATCTCACTTCAGAAGGGTGGACACTACATACAGTACATTTGTACCTAGCAATAATTAAAATGACTGTGTTATTTGGCAAAACTCATATTAGAACAACATTTTGAAGAGGAAAGTTGAACTACATGCTTTTAAAAGTAGTCCTTTTGTTGTGGACTGTGGCTTAGTAACTGGGCCCGGAGACTCTTGTTACATGTGAATATTTAATGTGGCCGAGAGATGAGCACAATGCTGGGGGAACTGTGCAGATGGAGCAGGTCGGGCAGAGGGTGTCTCGTTTACAGCCTCGGCCTTTAGCCCCATAGCCTTTTCGAAGCGTTTACGTGTCTTTTGCAAATTTTTGTGTGTGTCCGTCTTCAGCTGGAGTTGTGCGGCAGCTTGACCCCCATTGCGGAGCGGAGCGCGCGAGCCTCCTGCGATGACAGCGACGCGCACGCTCACCTCAGCCTGCTAGTCGAGGCGGACTCCACCATCACGACCACAGCCCCTGGAGTGGACCGCACTGGCACACGAACACGCCACTCCTCAGCGGTATGGCACACACTGCACTAGCACGTCTTGTATCAGGCTGTCACTGTAATTCATTGATTAATCGCCACTTATTCATTATTGAAATACGTCAACAATTTTAGTAATTTATTTAGTAATTTAGTTAACATCTGTGTTTGTTTCATAAATACATTTGGTTTGTTCCAACAGAAAGAGATAAACTCAGACCATAACATGCTGTCTTCATCTTATTAGAAATTCTATATTTTTTTATGCAGGAAGCTAATTACCTGAGAGTGATGGTCCCTTTGTAACAGAAGCCAAAAATACATGAGTGTGAAAACTAGTGAAAGCTAGGAACTACTTACTTGGATTTTATTGTTGTTTTCTAGTGGTTTCAAAGTTAGGTAATCCAGCTTCTTTAACCTTAAATCCAACTAAGAATTCAGAGAAAATGTTTTATGACTGCAGAATGAAACGTGTTTACCCCGTATTTTTAAGCAACCCTTTGTGTAACAAGTCATCTCTGTGAATATGTGCTCCAGTGGCATCACTTTAGGTTTGTTTGGATCAAATGTGAAATAAAAATATCACTGACCTTTCAGGATCTAAAAGACCAATAAACTATTTGAAAGAGTAATTAGCCAATTGATTTATTTCCTAAAGCCTTAATAGCCTTTATTTATCAGAAGTGGGACAATGACGATTTCTGTTTTAGTTACAAAGATTTTGTTTTTATTTTATTGTTGTAGTCCCTGGGCAAGGATGTTCAATAACTAATTAACTGAATGAAACTGTTTTGGGCCTTATTATGTGTTGCTTTTACTTCTTTTTTGAAATAGTGACTGCATTTTTGCTTTTCCCTTAAAAAATAATGACATTTGAACTGTAGAAGATACTTTTGCAATATTGTTCTTACTTAAAGTTGGTATATTATTATTTTTGTCACAATAGTTATTAATATCGGGGCGACAGTAGCTCAGTTGGTAGAGCATTGGCCTTAGAGCCTGAAGGTCGTGGGTTCGATCCCACCATAAGACCTACTTCACGACTCCCACTGATGTCTGCTGTCGTTGTGTCCTTGGGCAAGACACTTAACCCCACTTTGCCCAAAGCCCCTGCTGAAAGATCTCAGCTCCTGTGGACTCACCACCTGCAGGAGGATCAGCGAGGGGCTGGTGCTCTGTGACTGGGTGCAGCTCTGACTGCCACCCCCCCCGACCCAGAAATGGATTAAGGGGAAGAAAATGGATGGATGGATGGAGTTATTAATATCTATAAATAAATTGTTCATCAAATTGAGTTCTAGTAACAGGCATACAAGAATACAGGCGTACGTATAGTTCCAGTGGCCGTGTGTGGGTTGAGTGTGGACTTAAGGAAGTATGTTGCTGCATGTGTCAATATTGGAGAAATTGTTAATCATGGTTTGGAGGTGGAATTTATATTGTTGCTATGTTTTGAAGACGTGAGGATATTTCTGAGAAAAATAGAAGATCAAATCAAATGAGTGACAGTTTTTCATTTTAAGTGTTGACATTTTACTTTCTACACAATTTTAAGATTGACCATTGTGTTTGCTCTAACTCATCTTTTTTTGGCGTTTATCAACATTAACTCTATCAACAACACAAGATAATTGGATTTATCGCCGAACAACAGTATGTAATTAACATAAACATATTTCACTAAAGTTTCAAATATAGTTTCAGCCTAAATTATCTGTATTTTACAATTGATGTAAAACTTTAATAAATATTATAACATGGACTTGGAGACCACATATCCTGCCGAAACCACAGATCAAGTACACATCAATTTTCAAACAACACAGTCAAGACACACACACACATACACGCACACACACATAGGGGCAGGGGAAATAATTGCCAAAAAGTGTTAAAAAGATTATTGTCTTGACCACAAAAAGGTCCCTGGTCGATTTTACAACATGTTTGAGTGATGCCATTTGCCTGTTGGATGGTGGTGTCAGTGGCTGTTCTCTCAGACGGAGACACTGCTGTATCACTGTCACTGGACGAGCAGTAGAGAAAGTGCTGTGTGTCAGAGAGTGTTCCATAATGGAGGCTCTCTTCCAAGCGGCATTTTATGTCGGACACTTACGTTTTTTTTACCGCATGACTTTTACTGCAAGGGTATACAGTTTTGGGGTTTCCGATCAAACACTCAAAAGTGTCTGTTGTGCTTTCAGTCAATGTTCAAAGAAAATGATCTTGTTTCTCCAAGAGCCCAGAGGGACCTCAGTATCTCCCTTTTATCACACATCTCATAATTCAGAATGTCTCCAAGGCCCAAAGAGTTTTTCACTTATGCTGTCTTTGTACAGAATAGGTGTCGAAATGCCCCCTGCTGCTTAACAAAACAAGTTGGTGTTGTATTTTTTTATTTATTTGTTGGAAAGACAATGAGCAGTTACATGAAAATTATGGCTGCATTAAATTCAGCCTTGCGAAATTCCTTGTTTGTTTAAAGCTGGGGTACCTAACTTTCAAACCACAAAATCCACTCTCAAAACAGTTGGATTCTATCACATGCTTTAGGTCAGAGAAAAAGAGAGGACCACCCTCACTCCAGCTCTCAGCCCAAAATGTCAAATTGTGACTTGCAGGGCTCTTTCATACAAGTATGCAAAAAATGTTTTCTATCAAGATGAAGACAGCCTGTTTTGGTCTGAATTATTCATAACATTTTACTTTACAAGACTCCTTCTGTCTGGATTCTTTATGTATTTATTTATCACACAGAGTGTATTGATCAACAGAAACTGTATTTTAAACCAGAGTTAGCCAAAAGGATAGTTTTCCTTTGTAGTCTGCAGTCTGGTGTACATACGGCATCCTGTAAGAAAGCAGCAAATATACTTTAAGTATTTTATTTTTTTTTAAGTGTAGCAGGAAGAGTAGCAAAGAATGTTCAAACAAAATAAAAGGTCATCTTAAAATAGCAAATTGCATACAATGTAATCTTGATACTGTATATACATAATAATCTATACACGTAATCTTTAAAATAGGGAAGTATTAAAAACATATGTTGCAGGTATTTTCTTATGTACTTATCTTGTGTCAGGGTTTAAAAGAAAACCAGTTGCGGCAGCGCTTCCACAACATGGAGGACCACAGTGACGCGCCTCCCCAGCCCCCTCGCACCAACTTTGAGAGGACCATCACTGTTGTCCGGGGCAACTCGAGCCTTGGTATGTTCTTTGTGTTTCTCATGACAATGCTTTCCTGGTGTGTGTATGCCGGTGCGACCGCCATGATGGCTCTGATAGTCGGTGATGGAGACTGAAAAGAAGGGGCAAAGAGGTGTGTGTTTGTGCAAGTGCCTCTGCTCCAGAATCAAGACTCAAATCAAGAGTAGCTTCATTGATTTGCTGTGATTACTTTCACAGGCACTGGTATGTCGCTGTTCACCTGCTAGAAACAAGCCCACAGTTTGGTCTCATAAGCACGCAGAGAACGTAGTGCGTGTCAGAGTTTAAAACATCCTACACTTTCTAAGGACTCTATGCAAAACTTTAGAAAACCACCTCATTTATATTCTTGACAGCGGATCTAATAAAGCAGATCCCAACTTGAGGCTGGCTTGAACTTTGAAATTATGTAAATTATTATAGACAGACAAATTCAAGGTCAAAAGCTGCACTTTGTTTGTCAGTGGTTTGTGTTTCCATATCATGTCTTTGTGTTTACCTACTATAGCCTTTGTGTACACAATATGTGACTGTTATTAAGTGTTAAACATTTCCCTTATCAAAGACACTTTTGGAGTTGTTTTTTGCTCCATCTACACTAATAGAAGTTCATGCACAAACACGGCCTTCTGCCCTCAATTCTTAAATGCTTTGATGAATCCTTAAACTATTGCATCATGTCCAGAGCTGTTTCTGCCTTTAAAAAATAAGTTTTGCCTCCAAATTAGTTGTTGGCATTTCCTCAGATGAAATGACATTCTTCTTTAATGCACTGTTTGATGTTGATGAAAAAACAACTTTTGCCATCCCTCTGGTGGCAAAAGCGGGGAATGGAATGTTGATATAATTGTTTATTAATTAAAAAATCTTTATGGTTATTATAATTTCACATTCTAAAATCAGAAAATAGTCAATTGTGGCATTATCAAGCCTAAAGACCAACTGCAATATATTTATTCTTTAAAGTTTGAGAACAACATAAAAGAAAACATTGAAATAAACATTCTTTAACCATTTTTAAACAAATGTCAAATTTTTCAGTTCTCGGGGTTAGTTAAATGGAATTTGAACTAAAAGGAACATTTGGCCCTTTGAAAATGAAAGTACTTATTTAGTGTTTGTCTTCGAGCACATTTTAGTGGTGTGAAAAAGCTAATTGCATCAATATTGTCTTTATTGTCTTTCATGTTTGTCATGGTTCATCATGTCACCTGTTGATTGTACATCTGGCACTATGATTGTATTGTAATTTGAATGTAAACATAATAAAACAATATTGATGATACAAAAAACAGTACTATCATTTTTTTCTAGTTTCAAATTCTGTACAGCCATAGTGTTGTGGATGTGCACTAGATAAGCAGTGGGAAGTATAGTAGTTTCTTCTGCTTATGTGTACATGGAGATAATTGTGTATAAAAAGCCCTGTATTATCCTGCCTCAGCCTGTTTGCATTAATAAACAGGCTGTGTAATCCTCCTGGTGTCCAGTCTGATAATGCCGTAGTGTGGTGTTTGTGGGAGTGACACGCGCCCTCTTACCACCTGTGCCCTGTGCCCCTTTGGCAGTGGATGTTCGTGTGTGTGTGTGTCTATAAAGAATGATTCTGAGTGAATGTCAAGTGAGCCTATCCGTGTTTGTGTGCTAATCTTCCTAGTGTCTGTCTTGATTATGTTGATTATGACACAGTCAGGTGTTTGTTCAGGCCTCTGTCTGTCTATTTGGCATGTTTTCAAAGTGTACTTAGCCAGGCCTCCACTCACCTGTCTCTGTCTGTGTGTGGTTTGTGTGTGCGTATTGGCAGGCATGTCGGTGAGCGCCATCAAGGACGGCTCAGGCATGCTGGTGCGCAGTCTTGTCCAGGGGGGTTCTGTAAGCCATGATGGCAGGCTGGGGATAGGAGACGCCATCTTTGCCATCAATGGAGAATCTACCACTAATCTGACCAATGCCCAGGCAAGAGCCATGCTCCGCAGACACTCTGTCCTCGAGCCAGAGATCAGGTGAGGAGACAGTCACACACTTTCCACTGAGGATCAAGGGGTATAGTACTGTCTGGATGCAATATGCACCAACTGGTTACTGGAAAAGTATCTAATGTTATTTGCAGGCCTTGCAACTGCTTTCTTTTCCTTATTTTCTATTATTTAAAATCGTTGTAGTCCATTGTTCTCTGACCACCGGTGTCACATACATGGTGCAGTTCTGGGGAATAAATGCATATTCCTTCTTTACACAAAGATTATTATTATATGAATTACACTGTTACTGTATATAATGAATATTATGCTAAATACAGGAGTTAAAATACTACTCATACTACTGAGACACATTAATATATGTCATTTGTTACTTTTCAAAAGTTCCTTTTCAAGTTCAGAGGAACAATTGATGAAATAGATTTTTGGAGTAACTTTAGAGTTGTAACTATACTACTGCTGTGAAAAATGTACTAGTACAAAGAAACATGAGCACTCACATCAACAACACAATATTGTCACAGCCTTGGACTGAGGTGGACATTCCAGTCTTCCAGTCCAAACGTTCACTTTAGTTTCATTTGTGTTTTACATCATCACTAGAGCTGTCAAAATGATCGCGTTAACACACGATGATAAATGTTTTTCATTCATCGCGTTAAAAAAATGAACGCATTGACGCAAGTCCAGATGACCCGCCCATGCATCCCATAATATAACTCAAAATGCAGCGGACACATGTGTGTGTGAGATGGCGACAGAGCAGGTAGGCCCTCTGGGAATTCAAGTTTAAAAAGAATATGTGCGTGACCACGGGGCACTTGCTTTTGTTTGCTATGAACTGAACGGGAGTCTGCATCCTCTGTGGACGCCGCGTCTCTGTCCAGCTGCGGCAGCTCTGGACAGAGGTTTCCACCTCCAGCGGCTGTCGCTTTGACAACCACACGGCAAACGGCGCCGCCGTAACGTCATGAGCACAGGACTATTCTCTGCATGTTGTGTGCGTGTCTTTGCGTAACCTGTGCATGCAATAAATACACCTCTGAAGACTACAGTACTGTACCTCAGTCTCCTCTGTGTCTTCTCCCGAAGTGGCTCGCTAAATGAAAGTGGGTTTGAGCCCACCACAAGACCTACTTCACAACTCCCACTGATGACTGCTGTCGTTGTGTCCTTGGGCAAGACACTTAACCCCACTTTGCCTGAAGCCCCCACTGAATAATCTAGGCTCCTGTGGACTCACCACCTGCAGGAGGATCAGTGAGGGGCTGGTGCTAAGTGTACTGGGTACAGCTCTGACTGCACCGCCTCGACCCAGAAATTGATAAAGGGGAAGAAAATGGATGGATGGAAATACTGTACATATGTACAGTATGTTGTCATTAATCTTTCCATTCAAACAACCATTACAGAAAAATATGGCATAATTTTGCCAATTGTTAGAAATGCGATTAATTACAATTGATTAATTTTTAAGCTGTAATTAACTCGATTAAAAATGTAAATTGTTTGACAGCCCTAATAATCACATTTATTTTTTGCAACAATGTGAAAAAAATATACTTTCTATGGAATTTAAGCAAATTTTATAGCCCAGATGTTATAGTGTTATTTAATACAATTTGTACAAAATCTTATCTCTGTAATAAAAAAGGGCAGAAACAACACACTCTTGTATAATGAACAATCCATAAAATAAAATGTACTCATTACCGTTGAATGATCTTGTCTCTCCTTAGATCTCCATTATCACCTTGTTTTTCATGCATCTGTCATGGTTGAGCGATGCTGTGCTGTCATGTTAAATTTGATGAGATGATAATTATTTTTGCCTTGAGGGAGTAAGGTATTCACAAATAATCCAAGTGGAGATGTGCATTTCCTTCACCACATCTGCTGCCCACTGCACAACATTCCTTCTGCTTTCCTTGCTGCATATACGTACACATAGAGATGGCCTTAACCTCAAAAAACAGCAGGAAAACAGTATTTTCCTGTGAAGGGAAATATTTCTGAATTATTCATTTCTCATTTCACCTTGAACAGTGTGCTTGTGAATAAAGGAGTACCTTAAAGCGGCTCTGAAACACATAAGACAAGCACATCCACGTCTTTTTCCCAAACCCACACAATCACGGTGCCCCTCCATCTGACAGACAGACTAACACAGAGAGGAGGCAGATGAGCTTCTTTGGCAAGAATAAGACAGACATGGAAAAGGGTGAAGACGTGTGTTTGTGTCTGTCCACATGGCTCACTCACAATAGTTCTGTATTGCAGACATCCACATATTCTCTCTGGCATCATGAAGTGACTACACACCACTGTACGGATGTGGCAGAATGGAGACGGGAGGAGTGGGGCTTTAATGATGTCCTTGACACTCAAAAGTGAAATGACACGCAGGCATATGGAAAACAAGCCTTTCATTATCATGGGTTTTATTAACCGTAAGAGGTGACTAGAATGATAAGTTTCTCAACAAACAATATTAAACTTTATTTTTTCTTTTAGGGTCAGCTGTTAAAGAAAAAAATCATGCATTTGCCAGGCTGTAAAATGTTTTTAAAAAAAATATATTTTTAAGTAAAGATGGGGTACCTAGCTTTCTTTCCCATCCAAAAAGAAATAGTCATGTAAAAGTAAAAAAAAATCTAAATCAGACCCCAACATGCTGTATCCATCCAACTTAAAACATTTGGAAGAAGAGAGTGAGTCACTGTTTTACTCTTTTGGCTGAGATTGTCTGATTTTGTATTCGTTTTTCTGTCTCTAAAACCTAAAAGATCTATCAGAGGCCCAAAAATACAGTACATGCACGTGAACATTAGTGATAGAACCCAGGTGTTTAGAGAATGAGAGACAACCACTGTAGTTAGATTTATTTGTCACATAAAGTAGTTCATTTTGTTATGTTCGATATCCCGCTTTACCACAAATTGTATCTTTGGTGAACAATTATTAATGAAATCTACATTTAGAGAAGTATAAATTCAATGTCATCCAACTCAAATGGCTGATTTTCATATTTGTGCAAAAATCTGTGTATAATAGAAATGTTGTCGTCATTGCGCGTTGCTTGTGTTTGACTGCGAAGGGAGCACCTATAAAAATGTTTCTGTCAAATTCTGTTCATATTGTGGTGAACCCCTGACAAACCCCAGACAGATTCTTCTTAAATCTGTGTATTTTATATATTGCGCATATATTGGCAGACAAAGTAATCCTCCATCTGATCTAGAAAACCAAGGCTTTTCATTGCACTTATTATGGAAATGTTATTATCTCCATCCTTCCATTCCTGCAGGATTACATATGTGACAGCAAACCAGCTGGACGATCACCGCAGTCGGCTTGGTCTGCCCGCTCTGGCCTCCATCACAGTAGACAGTGCCTCACCTTCACCCACACCTCCCACTCCGTCTCCAGAGCCTCCACTAGCATACTGCAGATCCCCAGAGCCCATCACGTCTGCTGTTATAACCTCATCTTCAGCTCCAACCATTCACAAACCATCTTCATCAGTCCATCTTAAACCTCCGGCGACCGCAAATTCCGTCATACCGTCTTCATCAGGACACCTTAAATCACAGATTGATGCTGAGCCACTCAACTCATCTTCATCAGTCCACCTTAAACCTCCAGAGAATGTGGAGCAGGCATTTCCATCAGTTCCCCTTAAAACTTCAACCACGACTGAACCTGCCAAAACATCTGCTCCATTTAAAGCTTCGCTCAAATCCATAGTCCCCACCATCATTCCTGCCTCAGACACAAGGTAATGTAACACACAAAAACTATTATTAATGGTCTCGCAGTTACTTAGATCCTATAGACCCTGATTGAAGTTGGCCGGCTTGCATTACCTGAAGAAATGCCCATTTGACTTTAATAATGTAAAGTGCAAAATGCTCCTCCACGTTACAGATTCCAAAACATGATATGTCTAGTGGTTTTTATCCAAGGTTGCACCACATAAATCCTTCACTATAGCTTTATTATATGTCACTGGCTGCATTCATGATGTGTTTTTGGTGACATTTTATACACAGAGACAACCATACATTCTGTGGCATGTTAATCCCATAATGTTCTCACTGTATAGGCATTTGACTTTTATGGCAGCTCAGGTTTTATGGCTGTAACACATTACACATGCAGTCACCCGGAATTTTAAAGTCGTGCTAATGATCTGAGTTATTGTCTGTCACTTTAATTAAGCGTATCCACGAGGAAACAACATGTTTCAGTGTGCAGCTGCCACACTCTACACCACATTTTTGTTCCTCTCTTTTGGCTGTGGATGTTGAATCTCAGAGTTATATTTAGCCGTTCGCTTATGGATCTCAGTGCTGACTGTCAGCGAAAATGAATTGTTTCGCTTCTGTCTGTCCCTGCTCCATCTTGCGCCTGCTCTTTTCTCCACTGGGTTATATTGGGCTCTCTCCGCAGCCCTTCTCAGCCGTATCTCTCTGTACATTGTCTTGTGCACCTCTCTGCAGGCTTGCCCCTTCACTCTCTGTTTACATCTTTCCCTTACACACAGCCTGTCCCTCATTTCCCCTGTCAGTCCCTCCTTTCCTTCAGCCCCATGGAGTCATTTGTTCTGCCCTCGTCTCTAACTTTGACTGGCTGTTGCCTCCTGCTGTGGAGATAGCACTGCTATCGCTCACCTCTGTAAGCTTATTACAGCCATCTGCCGTTAAACATATTCATGAAAAATCCCACCTCTTTCCCGCACACTAATTTGTATACTATATAGAGCTTAGTTTATTCATTGACACCGCAATGTGAAAATAGTCATACTCCCAGGGATACAGTTAAGTGTGACCTTGCTGCCAGAAAAGCATCTTTTCAAGGCTTCTCAGTTTCATAATCTGTCAAAGTTTGGCGTTTTCTGGCTTTCTGAATACAAGATCACAATTTAAAAGCTGTGGCCACGTATGTATTATAATATATATATATATATATATATATATATATATATATATATATATATATATATATATATATATATATATATATATATACATACACAAGACACATTGCCTTGTCTGGAGTAAACGGTTGGTGGTGGTCGGAGGGGCCAATGACACACTGGTGTCCTCACTTCTGTCAGTCCGCCCCAAGGCACCTGGGGCTGCTGTAGTAGTTTATCACCCCCCATGAAATAATACATAATGCAATGTAAAGCATTGTAGAGTGTTCCGGAAAGCGCTATATAAAACCAATGCATTACTATTATTACTGTGATAACATTAATAATAAATATTACTGTGGTATTGTTTTTACCACAACGTTCTAATGTTAAACATCAAGATGAGGTACATTCACTGCACAAGCCTCTTTATTGTCTGGGTTTGCAATTGTGAAGAGATGAAAAATGTCCTGGAAAATGTATTCAGAGCTTTTTTGAGAACCGTTGTCTTTGAGCACAACAAGATGTGAAATATGTCTCTTCACATATTGTGTTACATATCATTATTTGCTCGTAGTGTTATGTACAACACTGTTTTATGTATATGGTACTTATATGGTACTAAACAGATTCTATTTAATTAAAATAACTGGTATTTTTGGCAGCATACTGAAGTTGTTGATTTAATTTGCTTCAATCCCATTGCTATTCAATATGGACTAGATTTAGATTTTTGCAACAAATGTAAATGAAAACATTGTGACACACTTCACAAAATGTTAAAGTATTTGTGTTTCATCAGTTGGCAGATTCAAAAAACAAGTGTCGACTCTAATGAGCATGGAAATACTAAAGAAGAAATTACAGAAAATATCACGAACAATCACACTGATGGGAAAGAACCTAAATTGGATATCGGGCTTAAAGCAAATGAAACCGATCCTGCAGCAACGGAAGAATTCCACCCTCGCTCGGTCGTGTCCTGGGAGCCCCCCAGAAGGTCAGTACATCAGTCATATCTGCTGATTCCATTTGTATATACGTATTTCTCATACTCTATCTGCTATCCCCTTTTATCCTCCCTGTGTTGCGGAGAGCTTTGGAAAATCCAGTGTTGTCGAAGTGGTATTTGCAGTAGGGGGTAGGAACAGCAAAGAGCATAAGCGACACATTCCCATTTCTAACTCTGTATTTATGACTGCACCCTGCCCCGATAAATCACATAAGCCTCAGCCCTTATAAAATCTAGCTATTGTGCATGTCTCCTCGGTAGGTATAATAACCCATTGTTTGTATTTAATCTCTGGAACTCTTGCCTGAGCTGCAGATAGAAAAAAAGATGAAAGGGTAAAAAAGGCATACCCGCTGGATTAATTTCCCCACTTGTGCCTTTTTGCAGCAATCTTTCAAATGAAGTAGGTCTTCATCAGGCTTGCAGACACACCACATCTATCATAACTGTATCTATAGTCTAAGTGGGATTTTGTTGCCCCTAATGTCCCGTGTATGCCTCCTCTTTGCTGTAGTGTGCGTCTGGTGCGAGTGCCAGGACAGTCCCTGGGTATCAGTATTATGGGAGGCAGAGGCATGGGCCGCAGACTGAGCAGTGGAGAGATGATGAGGGGGGTGTTCATCAAGCACATCAGCCCTGACAGCCCGGCCGCCCTTAACGGCACCCTGCGGATTGGAGACAGGTTACTGGAGGTAAGTCCTTGTGGATGTGGAGGCACTACAGAAAGTAGCACTGTTATTGTAGCTAGAAAGGATGGGTTTGCAGTATATGTAGTGAAATGGACTTTGTAAACTTGTGTTTTGACCTCATAAAGGTTCTTGTTACATTGTTGTATAATATGGAGGTTTGCATCCTCTTTATTGACTTTTCATTGGCTATAAATACCACACAGAAAAGATATCTTTTAGGTAAAGGGGCTCAAGATATGTACTAGCAATAATCCATACAGTGATATTTATTATTTTCATTGATACAGCCTTGATAACTGTCATTAGCAGAGCTTATTGAATCTACTTTATTCTTTGATTAAAAGCACAGTGGTGAGCACCGTGTCGTCTGCTCTGATCATCTCTGCTACCACCAACAACATGTGCAGTGCAATAGCCCCTGTTAGTTGCTTGGATAGAATCAATTTGGCCCTTTTCTCTTGAGTGGTTTTCTTTGCTTTGTCTGTTGCGCACATCTGTTCTGCAGCACTGTCTGGGATTAATGCTTGATTGACAGTTTCACTTGATTTGGACTTGGAATAGTTTTTGAATTGAACTTATGTAGCTGGTCGTATTCATCAGTCTATTATAGGCCTGTACAAGAATATTCTGTTAAAACATTATTTTGTAAAGGTACAGTACATGGTCTGGATAAGACAACGTTCACACTAAATCACTACATTTGTATTTCAAATCTTTTGTTTTTCATGATTGTATCTGCTTATTGTGCCTTAGGTTGGTGGTGTGGATCTGAGAGAGGCCAGTCATGAACAGGCAGTGGAGGCCATTCGCAAAGCTGGAGAGCATGTAGTGTTTCTGGTGCAGTCAGGGGAACAAAGACCCCAGGTAATTAATCCCTTGAATAGTATCACTTAGCATAGCGCTGGATTAGATTCCAAACCCCCAAAAACAGAGTTACTGTCTATAAATACATAAAACTCTTGCAATTCCTTGCTCTCCAGACAAGTTATATCACTAGTATCCCCATCATATTATTTACACATGTATTGTTAAAACAGAGACTGCACAGTGCTCTTTCCTAAACTATGCAAAAGAACATTGTTTTCCATTGTTTAAATATTAAGACCAAACCTGTTTGTCTTCCCAGCTTCAAGTTTTTATGGTTTGTATTAGATCAAGTTATTATAATATATACTATTATGGGACTGCCTAGCTTATTCTAATGCTATGACAAAATACTGCCATGCCACTCGACGGGTACCTATAGACCATCTTCCTGGGAGGCAAACACATAGATTTGACTACTCTGCATTTTATGTTTCGCCCACAGTCTCCAATGCACAGTAACACAGAGAGACTGACTCCAAGTCCACTGCTCAACTCCCACAGCAGCAAGGTACAAAGTCACTTGTTGAAACTTTGTTCTCAGATTTATATTCAGTGTAGAAAGTTGGGAAGGATGTACAATGTTGTGAGAATCAAATACTTTAGAACAGGACAAAATTGAAAATTTCTTGAGTATTTGTTGATAAATGTTAAGCTATATCAGAATTGAAGTTGTCAATTCCTCAACAACAGATCAAAGTCCTCCCAGACGACTGCTGTTGTGATTTAGGACTATACAAAAATACAATGAATGGAATTGAATTGTTTCTTAAGCTGACTAGATCCTTATAGTTCTGTACAGTATATAGAATTTCTACGATTGTACCCTGATCGATGTAGAAATGGACTGTTTTATTTTAGTGGTGCTTTTTTCATAGATGTATATTTGTCTTTAAAACCTTAGGAATCCCACAGTGGTTTGTTCCATAACCTCTCTCCCACTAATCCCTACACTCCTACTCCCTTTAAGGTTAGTATTGAGTTGTGTTGTGTGTTTTTGTGGTGTTCATGTTCAGGCATAGCATTATGAGCAAGAAATACAATATTAATAGAAGGTTGTCAAAAGTATTAAAAATATCAAAAATGAATCAATAGTTAAACTACCCTTGAAACTAGAAACTCATTTTAGCAGGTAGCAATACTACATAAAATTACATAACAAGAAAAAATTGGACATTTCTTGAGAATATGTTGATTATCGGAAGAACCTTGAAATTTTCAAAATCGGCATTTAAAATCATGAGACAGGTATTGATAAACAGCAGATACATTATTCTCGGATGCTGCGTTTGTGAATTATAATAATAATAATGCCAGTTTTCAAAGAGATGCTTTGTGGTTTAAATCTCTCGCATCCACCTTGTTTGTGTTAAGCTCTTGTGTCCCTCTTTGTCGGAGATACATAGCTCTCAAAATAGATAGTTATGCGTTCTTTTGAAGTTTTCCTATGTACTTGTAATTCGGCTGCTCATGTTATTTTTAACCTAGATTGAAACCATGTTCATTAATTCATCCCACTCAGGTTTTTTTTTTTATGCAAACACTGCTTCAAGCGCATCAAGCAAAGCCTCAGGGGTAGTCCAATTCAGGCCCCTAAGGCAGTGAATTCTCTGCCTGTTCAATAATGCAAAATTGCTTCTCCCTTAGGTGCCCTCTCCCACACTGCAGAGAGTGGATCGCAGGACGGTCCCACCAAAGACACATGCAGCAGCAGAAGATGAGGACGATACTGCTAGAAGTAAGTGCAACACATAGGTATAGGTATAGGTTGAGTCTGTTGCTGCAACTGCATGTCCACACGATTCCCCATGTAGTGCACCGTGTATGGAAGAGCTGCCTAAAAATCCAACAGAGGGAAAAGTAGTGCAGTCAACAATTACAATTACAATGCATCTGGAAAAGTCTCGGCCGGTCAATATGTTTTGCGTGAAACGGGGAAAACAGTGGACATAAGAATGAAGCACACACTAAACTAAAATTACACTGGCAAACAACCTGTCAGGATGTTGTTATCTGCGTACCTTAGTTTGGGCTGTTTATCATTTTCAATCTTTGGCAAAACGTTGATTATTCAGTCCGTCTTGATATTTAATAAGAGATCTGTCTTTATTCAAAATGTAAGATTAATGGGGCGACAGTGTCTTAGTTGGTAGAGCATTGGCCTTTGAGCCTGAAGGTCACGGGTTTGAGCCCACCGTGAGACTTTCTCCACCGACTCCACTGATGTCTGCTGTTGTTGTGTCCTTGGGCAAGACACTTAACCCACTTTGCCTATAAGGAGCGCAGAAGTAGTGTTCGCTGCATGCCTTGATGTGTATATGTGTACATGTATTCATCAAACTGAAATATCCCCACTGTGGGACAAATAAAACACCTTCTTCCTCTAGTATTTGTTTGTAAACACTTGAATCTCAATCATATTTGATCAATATTTAAATCAAATATGAATACATTATTTTTCATAGTGGTTAGGTCAAGCCCATCATACTGTAGATCCATGCTGCATTCACTATGATGTGAATGCAGGTTTATAGAAATCCTTCATTTTCTTAGGTATGTAGAGGAAATAGACTGATGTCCTCAGAGCAGCGAGACAGAGAGTGAGACTCCTCTCACTCTGTGGTGTAGGGTCAGTTAGTGATTGGGACTGTGTCTTGTCTGGATGCGTGGGTGATTGTGTTCTATATTGTGTTTTGTAGAATGTGTGAGAGATGGAGCAAAAGACGCATCTGTGCATACTTTTTATTTTGGGAAATTAATTTACATTTTAAATAATTAAAGACACTTTATAGGATTAATAGGAGACTCCTTTATATGGTGCAGTAAGTTTAGCTCTGAAACACATTCTTTATACCTTTATTTTAAAGCAGTTGCTCATTCCTGGCATTCAGTTATTTTTGTATTTTGGTGCATAATGGAGGGACAACTGTCATCTCCTCAACATAGTTGGCAGATCCTTCCAGATAAATTGTACACATACAGTCAGCTTCCTCCACAGAGAATGTCGGTCATTACATGCTGCATGTCACCTTTTTGCCTTTTTTAAGAGAGGACTTATGGCCTTCTGCTAACAACCTCCTGTTTGTTAACCATAGAAAAGATGCTTCAGCGCTATGGCAGCTTGTCTGGGAAACTCCATATGATTGAGCTGGAAAAGGCCCCGGACGCTCAGGGGCTGGGGATCCGGCTCACGGGGAACAAAGATGGCTCCAGGGCCCGGATGAGTGTCTATGTGGAGCACATAGACCCTAAGGGGCCCGCTGCTTTAGATGGGAGGATCATGGAGGGAGATGAACTGCTGGAGGTGAAGAACACAATACACAGATACATTGCATTGGACAAGGCTGATTAAATGTTCAATACATAAGCTGTATGTGTTTGTTATTATTGTGTCTTTAGATCAATGGTCAGATCCTGTATGGTCGTAGTCACCAGAATGCCACCACCATCCTCAACAATGCTCCTGCCAAAGTCAAGATCATCCTCATAAGGTAACATGTCGTTTGAAGCAGATTGAAGCGGCAGAAAGTGGTCGTCAGAAAATGATTGATGCTGTTTGGTCTAGGAATAAAGCGGCTCAAGGTCAAAGTGGACCCTACTCAAGAACAGCATGTGCGGACAATGTTAACTGCCAGTCCAACTGTACAGAGTCACCCAAAGGAACCCAGCACAGCACCCTGTCTCAGGTACTCAAATATACGGATAATATTGTCATAACGTTTTTCAGTTGAAGCAAACGATATTAGATTGTGCATTTTTTTATTTGATCTTCACTATGTATGTACTATGTATCCTTGTTCTTATTTTGATCACACACTATTTTTATCTGTATACATCCATTCATTCTCTTCTCCTTTATCCATTTCTGAGTCGGGGTGGTCGGCAGTCAGAGCTTCACCCAATTCACAGCACCAGCCCTAGTTTTATAGATTAATTCGACTCAAGAGTAAATAAATTATGTTTTGTCACTATCCAGGGACCTGCTTGTTTATACAATCAAACGACCATGTGCACTTTGATACTTCACCAGATACAGTAGATTTCCATATCATAAGATCAAGCAGTGTCTTTAAACAAAAGGATTTGCTCCATCTTTTATCAGCATTAACCTTCTCTCCTCACATAACATTGTAAGACGGAGCTCTTTAAATAGGCTTGGCCAATTTACAGGTATACAAGATGGTGTCAACATGCACGGTGTGAGAATTGACACGGTTCATGTCTTAATGTATAATGCTAATCTAATTTCTAGTTCAGCTTCATTACAGTGTGTAGATCAGACCCTGGTAATATGCACCCGTTTGCTCGTTCCTTTCCAGCCCAGAGATTGTGATTAGATTGTGACTGTCACGATATCTTCAGCCATATCAAAGCAGCAGAGTGTAGCGTCAGCTTCTTCCTTCAACTTCATCGTCCCTCTTTTTGATCTTCAAGAAAATAATTAAGAATACATTATTTCTCTAAAGTAATATACAATTATGATCAACCAATGTAAGTACAAAACGCATATACACCAACAATTACCTTACCATAATTGCTAATAAGCTCTCAATGTCAATGTCAATGTAAGCTTTATAGTGATGCACATTTACAACAACACCAGCTGCCCATAGTGCTTCACAAGCACAAAAGAAAACAGCATGAAGTTTACACAATTACACGACCTAGAGTCATGTCGGACTCTAGGTTCCGCTCAGTATGACATCGGCTGTATATGGAATACTTATTTGGACTTCCTCTGTTTTGCGTTTGTGTCTAGGATGGTGGAGACAGAATTGGAGGAGCAGCAGATAGACCTGTATGTTCAGTAGATAAGGTGAGTAAGTCCAAAACACAAGAAAAAGCATCACGGTCACTTTGATTATGTAACTTACTTGCCTCTTTTGTATTCAGGGTTTCAGTCAGATCTGCAATCACGGGACCCTCTCTGTCAAAGCATCCGCGAGCCGTTCCATCCCACCTCCCACCACGGCATCAGGCTTGACATCTCTTGCTCCACATTCCTCCATCAATGTCTCCAACTCATCTTCCTCCTCATTACGGATGCCTAATAAGACAACAAAAATGCACTCTGAGAGGTTAAAGTCGTCTCCTGTCCCTGCTGACTTACAACGCTGCCCCATAGTGCCGGGAAAGGAAACTCCAATAGAAATCCACAAAGGAAATCTTGGCTTAGGTTTGAGCATTGTTGGAGGATGTGACACTTTACTGGTGAGTCTCTGTCAATAAGATACAAAGATTCTAGATTATAAATAGAAATGCATTGTGGCTTTGTGCACCAGGGGGCGGTAATAATCCACGAAGTGAACGACGGAGGTGCAGCACAAAGGGACGGGAGGCTGCAGGCTGGAGATCAAATACTAGAGGTAGTTTACTGTTGCAACTCTATCCTCAGTAGGGAAAACTAACCAGTGATTTTGTATGTACTGTATACATAGCCAGACACAAGCTACACTCATAACATTATCTTTCAAATTATCAGTTTTATAATCACTGTTGACACCATTACTATTGTACTCTTCACCCCCCTCTCCTCTGAAGCCTAATTTGCTATTCCCAAGACAAATAAAAATACATATTTTCTACAATAAGATTATAGATTCAAGAGACCCCCTCTCTATCCCTCCCACATATACCTGTATGTGCATGATTTTTTGTATTATTTCACCTTGTGTTGCCTAAATACAAATACAAATCACTTGTATTAGAAAAAAAATCATGCAAAAAAGGGGATCCTTGTGTCTAAAGACCCCTGTCCCAGTCCTGTAATAGTATGATGTCATTGACCACTGTGACATCACACTCAAATTTGAAAAAAACAAATCAAACATTGGGTATTGCAGGTAGATTGTATTTTTTTGAAATATTATTCCACATTATAAAACAACAATGCATACTGCTATATAACACATTGATGTTTATATCTTCAGGTGAACGGCATTGACCTGCGGAAGGCCACACACGACGAGGCCATCGGAGTCCTGCGCCTCACCACGCAGAGAGTGTCTCTGTGTGTGTTCAGACACCAGGAGGCCTACAGGGAGGAGGACCTGTGGGACGTCTTTAGTCTGGAGCTGAGGCCGCGGCCCGGAGAGGGCCTTGGCTTTACCATCGTGGGGAAAAGGTGCGTAGCCGTGAAGAGGAAATGCACAGAAAACCTTGGTGACAATTATTTTACTTATAGTATGCACTGTACTTAAGTATTTTTTGGTAACAGTACTTTACTTTGCTACTTATTTTTTCTGTGTACTTTTCCCTGTCACTCTTTTCTACTTCGGAGATAGCGACACTACATAAAAACTAGTTTTAAGTGTTTATCCATGTGTCTTTGTGAATTAATTAAATGCAGTTTATTATCATTATATGCTTAAATTATACAACATAAATATAACACAAATGCATTTTAGTTTTTACTATATTACATGCAAAGCTGTGTACATTTATACTTTTTTAGGTACAGGAATGATTTTACTGCTTTTATTTTGGATAAAGTTGATTTTTATACTAGTATCTATAGTTTTTCATCAGTGCCATCTCTGCAGAAAATCCCACAGCAGAAATGCAGTTTGAATATTCTTTGTGCCAAAGTACACTCTGCCGGATCACAAAGAGTTAATGAAATGTCTGCAGTCTGTAAGGGCAGGTTTTATGACCGTGTCTGTCCTTTATACAATGAAGTGTGACATTATGCAAAACAGGTGCACGGGTTATTTAATGCAGCATATATTATGGCCACGGAAAAAGATACAGATTCTGACCTCTGTTTTTTTTTTTATTCACAGTAATGATACGGGAATCTTTGTGTCAGATATCATTAGAGGAGGAATAGCAGATTCAGATGGCAGGTTGTTGCTAGGTGACCAGATCCTGTCAATCAATGGGGAGGATGTCCGAGCAGCCTCCCAGGATCATGCCGAGATGCTTCTACAGGTCTTTGTTATTTTATTAAACTGTTGTTGTTGTTGTTTTTATTTTAGCTATTTCATTTTTTATTTAATGATTTTTCGTTTTAGAAAGGCACCGTCATAGTTCACTTGGAAGTGGCTCGCTTTAAGGCTGGCCTGCAATACTCACAGCGAAGCCAGGTAAAAGGTTTTGGCTCAAATTTGTGTGAGTGCTTCGTAGGATTCCTCTGTAGTAAACATATTTATAGGTCCGTTGTCCTTCTTAGGCTATAGCTATTGTAGCTGATTTGGTTTTGAGGTGCATATTTTAACATAGTACTTTGTGAACCTAGGACTACTTTAAGTTATGTTTTATCCAGAGCGAAGACTCTGATTGTTCCACCCTGACACCGACCAGTGGATGTGATGCCTCACTTGGCCACCAGGTAGCAGCAGAGAACAGAATAGGGAGCTGCAGTGAGTTTTCTTTCCACACATTACAGTAATTACATCCTTGTCTGATTAGACTTACATATGTCTTTGCTTTGACAGACATACGGAAAATCACCATAAAAAAGGTCAGAACGACTTTATTCCTTGGTTGTTGTATCAGGTTGCAGTTACTTTATACTCTGATGCCTTCGTAGGGACCGCATGACTCTCTGGGCATCAGTGTAGCAGGAGGAAGTCCCCATGACGATGTGCCTCTTTTCATCGCTACAATGGAGACAGATGGTTTAGCCGCAAAAACACAACTACAGGTGAGAAGTGTCCATACATCTCTTAATCAGTCACAAGCATGGAGCCAAGAGGAGATCCTTTATATTCGTCCCACAGTGGGGAAATGTCAGTGCTGCATCACAAGTTACAGAACAGTAGGAATGAGGAGCAAACGGCACAAGATAAATTAATTGTAACTCACACTAAAATAAAATAAAATCTCTAACTCTAGCATAAAAAGAAGCAACATCAAATCTTTATCTTTAGCATAATAAGGAACAAAGTCTTAAAATCTCCAACTTGAGCATGATGAAGAAGCAAGAGTTAAGTACAAAAACCCCTGACTTTAGCATACTAAGGAGCAAGTCTAAAATTCTAGTGCAAGTAATATATATTAGCAGCATGAGGGTAGATAGATAGATTGACGGACAGATGGACAAACAGACAGATAGAAGGATGGATGGGTAGATAAATGGATAGATAGACAGAGATAGATAGAAAGAAAGATAGATAGATAGACAGAGATAGATAGATAGATAGACAGAGATAGATAGATAGACAGAGATAGATAGATAGACAGAGATAGATAGATAGACAGAGATAGATAGATAGAGACAGAGATAGATAGATAGATAGATAGATAGATAGACAGAGATAGATCGATAGATAGACAGAGATAGATAGATAGACAGAGATAGATAGAAAGAAAGATAGATAGATAGACAGAGATAGATAGATAGATAGACAGAGATAGATAGATAGATAGAGATAGATAGATAGACAGAGATAGATAGATAGATAGACAGAGATAGATAGATAGATAGACAGAGATAGATAGATAGACAGAGATAGATAGATAGACAGAGATAGATAGATAGACAGAGATAGATAGATAGATAGACAGAGATAGATAGATAGACAGAGATAGATAGATAGACAGAGATAGATAGATAGAGACAGAGATAGATAGATAGATAGATAGATAGACAGAGATAGATCGATAGATAGACAGAGATAGATAGAGAGATAGACAGAGATAGATGATAGATAGACAGAGATAGATAGATAGACAGAGATAGATAGATAGATAGATAGATAGATAGATAGATAGACAGAGATAGATCGATAGACAGATTGATAGAGATAGATAGATTGATAGAGATAGATAGATAGATAGACAGAGAGAGACAGAGAGTACATACATTTATACAAGCATAATTGGATTAGTTAGGTTAAAACATATAACCCAGTATATTCTATAACAGAAACATTTCAGGTAGTAGGGTTTTAATGGTCTTGAATTATATTTAGTTGTGCAGTCATTATTCAATAACTATTTGTTTAAAATGTCTTTAGGCTGGTGATCGAATTGTCAGTATAAATGATGTGTCCACAAAGGGAATGAGTCACGTTCATGCTGGAGCCCTGCTGAAAACCACCAGTGGACGTGTCAGTCTGGAGGTAAAGCCTAGCGTACATCAACAGAGAAACTGGGGACAACTAGTTGCAAGGCGGCTTTTGGCAACTGAGAGGAGATGGTGGGAGATGATCAGTTGCCGAAATCGGTCGATGTGCGCGCTCTTACAACTGGAGATGATCAGTCGGTCTCCAGTTCCAGTCAGTTGCCCGTGTTCTACTTTTCGGCAACTAGTTGTCCTCAGTTGCCCCGATGTGCGCGCTCCATGCGCCGCTCCAACAACGTGTGTGTATTGCGTGTATTGCGAGCCCGCAACAGTTTGTTGTCAGAAAACACACTGTAGTTGAGGCCAGTTGCTGTCGATGTACGCGCTGTTATTCAAGAGACTGGCCTGCGACTCAGAGTTGCCCGTTTTCGCCAGATTGTCGATGTGTGCGGGGCAGCAACTCAGAGGCGACGGATATAATCAGTTGCCAGTCCGATGTACGCTAGGCTTAAAAGTGACAGCACACTGTTCGTTAACGTCTGAAAACAGCAGCAAAGTCATGCGTCACATTGAGCCTGTCACAGAGGCACAATGACACAGATTTAATAGATTTGAATGAGAAACGCTTGATGCAATGGCACCTTATTGTTCGTAGCTGACGTAATATGATTTCAATTCGTCTGAAATCACATTCATAAGATCCACGATGTCATTTTTATTAATATACACAAAGATATGGAAGCTGGGAAACCTACATTTCAAACCATAAAAGAAAATGGGTTATTCTGTGATAAAAATTCATGTAACCAGTTCACAAAAATCTATCGCTTTTGTCACAGAATTGGATCATATTTTTCTGGGAGGACCACCCTCAATTTGCCAATCAGTTCTCAGTCCAAAGAGTCAAAAAGTGACAAGTATGCCAAAGATAATGGTTTTGCATAAAATTAATGAAAAACAATTCTTTAATTCATTTTCAAACCCCTTTATTAATCCATTTCTGGGTTGGAGGGGGAGGTTTTGTGGGGGAATTGAACCCACAACCTTCAGGCCCAAAGGCTCCACCAACTGAGCCACTTTCACCCAAATACAACTGTATATGAATCAATAATATGTTTTCAGGTGACATCAATGGAGAGTGAATGTACTTCATGGGAGCCCAGTGAAAGCTCTTCAGATGCTTTAAAACACAACAGCAGCTCTTCATGTCGTCATAACAACCTTTGGTAATGTTGGATTCATTAAACAAACTGGTTTATAACAAATCTAAGCCCTGGCCCCCAAATTATGATTGAAATTTCAAGAAATCCTCATTTTAGTGATGTATTTGTCCTAATTTCACCGAAAAGTTGTTGTACACATGTTTTGTATCAAATAATTGAGTAAATACAGCGTAAAGCTTTTTGAAGTTCTTGGATTATATTGTGTCCACTCTGATGGTCCTGCCCCGAACTTTGAGAACAACTGTGGTATTATAACTGAAACAAACACAGTCTCTTTCAAACACCTGCGTACACTGAAGGCGGGTGCAAAAACAGATGACGGCAGAACTTTCCATCTACTGAAGTTCGGACTGTTGCTTTTACTACTGTCAAATGATCTATGTGCAATCTATGAGTAAGTTTTCTTAGCGCTTATGAAAACCAAATCACTTCTAGTTTAATAATTTGATTTATCAAGACCCATGTAAAGATTTAGATCCTAACCCCTGTGAAATTCCAGTCCTTTTGGTATAACTGGATCGAACCATTTCCTCTGTGCTGGTATGTAACCTCATGCACTGGACCCATATGACTGATTCTACTTATAACAAACTTTGGGTGCCATGTAATTAGATAAATAACTCATGTTCATAGATAGATAGATAGTTTATTGATCCCCGTAGGAGAAATTCACAGTATATGTTTATGGGCATATACTGTGATTATTTTCAAAGTTCTGCACAATAAAATACTAAATAAAACAAATCCATAGTAAAACAGTAAAATAATATAAGATAAAATATGAAAAACCGTGTGTGCATATATGTATAAATATAAAAATAACAATACAAATAAAATAAAATGAAAATAAAAGGACCATACTTTGAACGTTGATTGAATTGTTTTCTTTGTGTCTCAGCTCTCGCAAGTACAAGACTATCAGTCTGGAGAGGGGCTCTTCGGGTCTGGGCTTCAGCATTGTGGGAGGGTTTGGAAGCCCCCAAGGAGACTTGCCTATCTACGTAAAGACAGTCTTCAATAAGGTGAGAGATAAGCTCCTGGTTTTACCTTACCTGCCCTTAAAGCTGCGGTACCTAACTTTTCTTTGCCTAAGTAAAACCCTATGTCCATTTCAATAGAAGGAGTATTTTAAAGTCTTTTGAACCAGACCACAACATGTTTATCTTATGCATATCTTTTGCACTTTGGATTTTATTTCATATTTTTGGTTTTTCATGGTTTTAAAGTTAGGTATCCCAACTTTAAGTGGATTCAGCTTAAGAACACGTCCACATTCAACGGAAATGAGTGTGTTGAATTGTTGTATGCAATGCCTCATGTATGTCTTTATTTCAGGGTGCTGCGATAGAAGATGGCCAGCTCAAACGTGGAGATCAAATCATTGCTGTGAATGGACATTGTCTTGAAGGAGTGACTCATTCTGAAGCTGTAGAAATCCTTAAGAAAACCAAGGGAACAGTGGTCCTGACCGTACTGTCTTAAGGCACGAGGAACACAGCAGACAACAACAAAGGGCCAGATTTTTGTTTAACATTTGAATCTATAGTAACGCAGACCTGAACCATGCCAAATGCTTCTGCCAATTCAGTTTTATATACAGTAGCTTCTCAAAAGATGCTGATAATCGACAAAAGTACACATAATTGATATTGGTGTTATTGTGTGTTATATCATTGATTAGACAAAGCACCAATCGCCATTTTAATTTCATTTTACTTTAATGAGGGCTTGGATGTCACATACTTACTAAGTTCTTAAGCTTCTATCCACAATCCTTAACAAGGATTAGGGTTCCGCTCGCAGTGTGGTTCTGCTCTTTATGAAATCTAATTTTGGACTTAATTGATGACGTTAAACGCACTTTTCCACATAACTCTCTCATGTTGTATTAAATTGATAAGATTAATCCTTTATTTGTCCCATGGTGGGTAAATGTCAGTGTTGCATCACAGGTCAAAGAACAATAGGAAGGAGGAGCACCCAAACACAAGAATATTAAATTATTGCTCAACTGTAAACCTTATTAAAAATAAAAAATAAATAAAAATGAATAACCTATCTGCTCTAGCGAAAAAACATTTATAAATGTATGTAAAGATCCATAGATAGATTTGTAAAACACTCTGGTGCAAGAATGTTGAAGGGATACTAAGTCATTCTCTGTGGGTCTTGAGTCGGCCGGTTCAAATATTCACAGTGATGCCGATGCTACTGCACATATTAGTAACATGGAGTCTGGTAAAGTGATTAGTTAAAGTGACAGCGGACATGTGTGGTCCCATATTGCACATTCTGACCTTATTGCACATTATCGCACAGATGCATTTTATAGTCAATTCAATGTCACAATATAATCATCTTAATGACAGAGTGACAGAGTTATGTGGATACAGTAACTTATTGTTATCATTATCAATTAAATCCAACACTTTATTTGGATAGTGTTGATATATTTCTCTTTTAAAATTGTCTTTGTAACTTGTGTTTTAGCCATGTTGATAATGTGATATGTACAGTCATAATGTGAAGCCTGTTTTATACATGTGATCCTTTCTTATTGCTGTCCTGCTGTCTATTTGTTTATTTGAATAATGTTATATTGCATAAAATATGTGTTCTTTATTATAATTGTATTGTTTGTCTGATGTTTGTCTTTCATTCTTTAAATCCATGTGTCTCTTTTATAATCTAATACATTCAAGGATACTGTATACTACCTGATTCCACACAGAATAAAATCACCTTTAATCAAGACGTTTACCAGAGACAAATAATACATTTGCACACAAATGTCTCTCTTAGAAAACAGGAGTTATCTGGGGATTGTGCTTGATGGCTCTGCATTAATCATACCATCTGTTCACATTGTGGGTTTTTTGAAGTCCAGGCAATTGTGTGTGCTTTATCCTTCCCCAGACGAACCACTTCCAATTTAGAAACTGCCACAAGGATTATTTTAAGATGTAAGTTGAAGGATGTAAATGAAAGTGATGACTATAAAGAAACAGGAAATAAAATATAAAATAATTTTAAACGAGGTTAATACATTTTGTAAGTGATCTACCTCTGAAATAAAACAAGCAGCAGAGCCTTGTGTGCTTCAGTCGTGTTCCCTGTGTGACAGCCAAAATCTGTAAATAGACTTTTTCGTTTCCCATTTTTCCCCAAGAGGCACAAGATGTGTTGCAGAATGTTGATATTTTGGGCAAATGCTGACTCTATATTGTCTCTGAGTTTGAATTAAGTTAACACCACAAAGTGTGCAAGCTGCATGAAAGGAGTTTTACTTTTTATAGACGTCACATGAGCACCTTTAGCGCCTTGATGTAACAATGATTTATGTTGAAATGTTGCATGTATATATAGGACTATTTTATTTGAAGTAGACCATTTCATATATATACTACACTGTTTTATATACAAACGATGATCAAAGAATGAGTTCTGCAATGACGCAATCGAACCACACGGGGGCAGTATGTTCCAAAGCATGATGCTCAGCGCCTCAAATGCGTGGATATGAGTAAAATGTCAATTAAAGGCTTTTATTCGTTTCCTACTCCATGTCCAGAGTTTCCACGTAGGTTAATGTAATTGGTAAGTCTGGTATGTAATTGGTAAGAATTATGTACTGTAAAACTGCTCATACATCAGTAACAAATGCATAAAAGCTGGTGTAGGGAGGAGAGGAAAACGGTGTGTTAGGAGATCTTCGTTTATTATTAGGGAGTACAGCCCCCGCCCCCTAAAAACAAGGTCCTTAATCTACATTATCGAAGCCAAGATTACATTACAAAGCCGAAATCCATGTATTAAAGTTGTATTGACTTGTATTGCACATATGGGAGGTCAGATAGATCCATGGGTCAGATACATGCGTGACTTATCTGAACTATGCATACATATTATCCTATTGTTAAGAAAGGCAGTTGAATGCAAGCTGCAGTAACTGTGCCAAAAATGACATGTTTTCCCTTGCTTTATTATCCCACACAGACTGGCTGACCTTTTGGCAGAAATTGTATTCTGTCAGACAAACACTCTTCCACTCTTCAACTTTTGACCAACTTTCCAAAGTAGGTTTTACTTTTACTGTCAACAAAATGTCACCCACTCTGTCAACTCTGGCTTCCAAACCAGTTCATCTTTATTAGAAGTTTTAGGGGAGTACAAAAACAAAACATATGCATTTAAATGTTATGGCATTTTGGAAGACAGTGTTTTAGACCGTTGATTGTGATTTGTCCAGTCTCCTGTCATCCTCAGAGTAACGGCGGAAAGTTTCCCCCAGAAGTGGCTCCAGTCCCTCCATAGATCTGTACGTCCGGGCCCTCACAGCACACGCAATGACCCCTCCGACCACGGCCACCACCAGTACAGCTGCCACGACGGCTATGGTGATGATCTCAGACACGGTGAACTCACGCACTGCAGAGGAGAGGCCAAAGTCATCCACATCTGTCAGAGGTTAGTTGGTAAATAATAAAACATATCTTGGTAACTAACCTGGCCATTCTACTTCATAGGAGTATCCCAAGTTTCCTGGAGCAGCCACAAACATCTCAGCATTGCTCACAGGAGGCCAGAAGGGAACCATGTTGGACTGACGATTGTGGCCAATGGGAGCGTTTTCCTCTGGGTAAACGACCTCACCTACACAGATCCAATCACTTTTTAAAAGATCATTCACACAGCATCGTATAAACACACTACAGATCAGGCATGTCAAACTCAGGCTCGTGGGCCGGCCGGCAAGACAATTTTTCGGTTTTTCAATTATTATTATTGACTTGCAGCATTGACCGTAATGGACTACCAAGGCAGGTAAAAATGTAATCTATTTTTTCAGGAAAACCACCAAATTGAATGTATTCTAACATATTAAACCAACGCATCAAAATAAATTAAATAGTTAAATATAAAACAATGTGTTTAACTTCTTTTTTGGTCTAGTTTTGGTTCAATCCAACCAATAAACACAAACATTGAAAATAATAGTGCAACTCATGTCACATAAAATGAATTGAAAAAAACCATAATGTTAAAAACAAGTATCAGAAAAAGAAATCCCTTCTATTATTTGGGCTCCTGACCACATTTTTGTTACATACTGACCAAAATGAGTTTGACACCTCTGCTATAGATGTGCATATAGATTTCTGGTATTGCAGCATTATCTTTGTATAATGAACTTGAATTTGTGTACCAGGTTGGTGTCTGCTGAGCCACTCATCAAAGATTGCATCGGTGAAAGTGTGCAGCAGGACAAAGATGGGATCGTTTGGTGAGAGGTGAGTCTGACCGCCTGTCCCGTTCAAAAAGAGGTGAGCCAAGTTGTGGAGGCTTCGAATTACAGGGTCATACGTTCCCTGAGGGGCGCTGTAGCCTAGAAAATACCAAATAGACAAAAGGGATCAGATTTAAGACGTGCATTTCCAGAATTAGCAAAACAAATGTTGTGTTGGAGCAAACCATATGTGAGTGTGGGTGGAGTATGAAGCGTGACTGCAGTTTCTGGCTTTGAGATTCCTCCATGAGTCATTTGTAAACTGTTTTATCATCCGTGTAACTTTGTGCTTCTCATGAAGCTACCTTCAATGGTGTTCCTGAAGCTTTCAGACGAGGTGGAGTAGTAAGGAGGAGTGTCAAAAGTGTTCAGCTGTAGACAGTCCAAAACATCCTTGGGCTCTGGAAGTCGCTGGACCATTGGCCGGGCCACATTCCCAGCTGGATTCCTCCTAATGGGACTGGTCTCAGTATCTGCAAGTTAGTGATAACAAATTTGACAGCTGCCCTAAGAACTTGTCCATTACATTTTATATTCAAATGTTACTTGCAGGTATCACACAATCAATATTTTTTTTGTCGGAATAAATACGCTTTGAGCCTCGATTTTAAAAGGTCAAAATCAGTTAGCACTCACAGATCGGGGGGAGCTTGTTGTAGAGTCTGAGTCCAGCGACTGAGAAGGACCCAGACTCCTTCTCAAGATGTTTTTTACTTTTTATTTTTTTAAGTAAACATCTAATGAAAATCAAAGTCCACTTACAGCATGATACTCCCTATGTACAAACCATACACTTAAAATATTAAACAACAATCCAGGGCAGTTTAAACCCAACTTACCCTCTTCATACCTTCTCTTTTCTCTATATAATTACAAACAATATGTGACTAGATCAACTCATTTTCCCTTGGCCTTCAACCCCACCCCATCATACATCTACTCCTCGACAATCCTGCCTTTTCATTTGTCATTCGATACTCTCAAAAGTACCTGTGAGTGTTCTTTCAATAAACTTTTTGTTTTGTCTGAACTTCTTGCTTATTGGGCCACCAAGTTCATATGTAGGCCAGAGATCCCAACAGAATATTAGGCTGTTTAGAAACATTTTATTATTTATCCCCTCCTCTAATTCCATAGCAGACGAGACTAGCTTGATCAGTCTTAAACATGACAGCGTGGCAGTTTCCTTAATTATTCAGTACCAGTCAACAATCGCGAGTAGAAGCATTGTGACTCTGCTATATTGTGCCTTCCCCTTTCCTCCCATTACATAGCACTCAGATAGGCACAAAAACAAGAGAGCGACTACATAACCAAGTTGCCTGCCTGTTTGAAGATTATTCCCCCAGATCAAAGAAAATGAGATTCCTGTCTTCATCGAGCACAAATGAGGCTCCCGCTCCCTCCTCTTCACCCATTTAAGGAGATGATGCTTGTTGATGCAGGACATACCGAACCTGCCTCGAAACTCTTTGGGGATTAATGAGAAGAATCGCCCGCACAAGATACCGCTCATTCACATGAACCACATTCCCCACTTTTCTCACTCACAGAGAAATAGTTCAAAAAAAGAGCTCCCACCTCTGCACAACAGAATGAGCGGATTGACATTGCTAATTGGGCTGGAAAAATGGAGCAAAGAAACGAAGCAAAATGAAATCTGATGCATTTTACAACATTATCGATAGTGTTGGATAGATACATTGTTCATTATAAACCATCTGGTATCCTGTTCTATATTTTAACTCTCTAAAAATGTGGATATCTCTGTTGAATTGATGATGCAGTCGATTTCTGCTCCACAGCACAGGGTCTGCCACTGTGTTGAATTGTATCGTTACAGTTGTTTTGGCCTCGGGTGAAGAAATCTGCCTTTGTTTGCGTGCTTTCTCTATTCTAGTGGAGTCGGAATTCTTGTTGCATTAAAGGTGCTTTCTGCAACTTTTTTAGGGAAAAACATAATTTGATACTTGTGTATAATTGTACATGTAACCCCTGTGTCATAATATCATTCGGTCTCCTGCCACCCCCTACCTAAACTTCTGACGACTAGCCTATTAAAACTCTATTACATTATTATTACATACTTATTACACGTTAATTACTTAGTACTTACTGTGTTATAACAATATTCTGAGATGTTGTAGCTTCTCGACTTAGCTTAAGCATTATTTTATGACACAGGGGTTACATACAACTTTGTAGAGACCCGGCGGTTCTACTGTATGTGGTCAACGTGGCACCTTTACTTTTCTTTTCCCTCACAGTGGTCTCTAGAATGCTATCGGATCAGAGCTGTTTGGGAGGTTTTCTTTGCTTGAGGGACCCCGCACCAAAGAATTTATCCTGGAGCACTGTAGTAGAACACAACAGTGATCCAAAGTTAAGGCACCATGCTGTCCACTCTTACAGCCAATACAAGGTCAAAGACACTAAGATATCAAGTTTTTTTATTTGACATGCACCTTTCTTTTAAGGTTAAGATTAATATATCCTTGAATGCCTCCATAGAATTTTGACACATCCTAATCAGGTCGTCTGATTTTTTTATGACATTTTATATAGACCCATATACCTACTGTACATCGTTACTGCAAACAAACAGGCCATTCTGAATGCTCAACATCTGTGAGCTTCTATTGATAGCAGCTATTTATAGTTGTTCATGAACTGTTTATGAGCTCTTTGCCCTCTTTTCTGATGCTGCTGAGACAGTTGACATCTGCTGCCCAGTCACTTTCTCTCTTTAGCTGAATTCCACACAGTTTAGTGTATTTCTGTCCTTACTGTTGCAGACGGTGCCTTGCGTGTCATAATCGTCCACGCTCTCACAGATGACCCTCCACTGAGAAAAGACAGAGTTGGGGCTGATGCCGTCGACTTCGAAGCTGCTCCGGTCGCCCATCAAGTCATCAGTGCAAATGTCACAGTTGCTGCCCCCAATGGCAAAGTTCCAGTATGGCAGGGCAAAGGTGGGGTCCTCCAGCATATCCTGAAACATTTGTTTACCGTTCATTTTAGTTCATTTTACCTGAAGGTTTTTGTCTTGTGGCATGCTTAGCAAAACATGACGAATGTAAGAGTGTTGTATTATGGCTGTAATTTCAAGATGAATTAGTTGACTAAAATTGGGGGAGTGGAAAAGTCTAACTATTAGTACATACTGCACCTGACCCAAACTTCACTCACATAAAAAAATAAAATAATAAAAAATAAAAAGGTTCATGGTTTTGGTATACTTTACACTTTTTAATTCAGACCTTTTTCTATGGGGAGAACATGCAAACTGCACAGTAAGGCACAGTCTGTCTATCAACTAATGAAAAAAATATGTTTGACCAAGGAACCATCATCCGATTAATTGACTAAACGGCAAAGACTGGCAGACCTAATTGTAATAACTCCTGTGTCTTGTTTACATTGAGATATAGACTTGTGTTTTCCTAATCCCCTCTCTTCTCTGATACAGTATATTGTCTCATTATTCCACTTCCCACACTTCCCCCTCTCAGTTTGTCTATTATAAGCTCTGTCCTCTCACACACCTGCATGTCTCTCTCCAGCTGCAGCAGATGAAAGCGGTGCCATGTGACAAACCCGGGGCCCTCATGGGAGAAGTCCACACCCCCAAAGCTGGCCTGGCCCGGCCCCAGGTATGTCTTGCTTACAGAGTAATAATGAGTCCACACAAAGTAATTATAGATGGTAATGTTTTCAAATTGGGGGGTGTTTCCATCGGGTCCGAACACCTCCTCGTACCTGATGATGAAGAAAAATGAAAGAGAAGAAAAGGTTTATTCATGCCACAATGGGGACATTTCAGTGTTGTTGTTCATCTTACAGAACGGTATGAATAAAAGGAGCACACCAAAAAGTAATATTTTGAGAAGGACATACATATTTGTGATTGTAAAACTAGAATCATGATTAAACTTAATAGATAAAGAATACAAAGAATGCAATTTGTGTTTATCTGTAGGAGTTTTAACAGAGAAATTGCTATAATAATTTATTACTCATCTAAGCAATATATTTTTGATGGTCCCAAAGTCATGGTGCGTAAATTAATTCATATTCAACTCGCTGCCACTACAAAGACAATTTACCATAAGAGCACCAATTTTCCTGCTACTGTCAGCTTTTTTTCTTTAGAATGTTTTTTAGTATCTAAAAAAAAAATACAAACATTTATCAAGCGTTTTTCTCTGGTGTAAAAGTGATTAGCCCTTCAAATTGGGCCGCTCTGATTTATAAACTTATCTTCTAGAATCAAAGAAGAAAAAAAATATCACACGCCATTTCACTTAGCACCCACAGTTTAGCAGCTGGTTTGATAAATGAGGGCCTGTGTGCAAATACCTTCTTGTGCAGATTACAAGGTCAGGGTGAACAGTTCTCTTCGCTTGGTCCAACGCATTCACAAAAGCTTGTTTCTCAGCGGCACTCATCAATATTAAATTTCTTCTCACTGGGAAATGAAGGAGGGAGAAATTATAGAACATCTTTTTCACTAGTTGATTGTGACTGTGGTTTATCCAAATGAGCCAGGCGCAGCAAGACACCGCAGCATTAAAGGCCCGAGATAAACACATATTTGTTGACGAGTGTGGTCCCTTACCCACAGACACTCTCTGATCACAGTTTGGTCCAGTCAGCCCGTGCCGACAGCGCCCGCAGTTGTAGCCGCTGAAGTTGCCGTTGCATTGACAGGTGCGATTGAAGAATCTCAGCGGCCACCTCTCCCTGTCGTCACGTCCAGAGTAAGGGTACTGAGGTCCGTGCCGCCTGCTGTCCGCCGCGATGGACACGCACTGGCCTCTGCCCGTGCTCGAGCCACAGTCGTCCCCCGCCAGTCCAGTGGGCGAGGGGCAGCACTGGCCGCTCCTCAGCCCCTCGGGAGTCACACACTCTCGAGGGAACTGTGCCATCGCTACAGTGGCACACAGGGTTAGCACCAGGACTCGCCACATGCTGTCACAGAGAACAGGAGGAGGAGAGTTTCAGGCTCGTCTGTAGTGATGAGGCAGCACTGGAATGTAGTTTTACACTTTAGGCGCCAAAGTAACGGACAAACATCAAGAACTATGTGTACATAAAGAAAATATTGTTTTACTACATGTGTACATAGATCGATACTTTATTGATCCCTGGAGAAATTCAGGTGTCCAGTAGCAGCAAAAATAAAACTGATCGTTCTAAAAAGCTAATAATAGTATTTAAGTAATGGTATACATGAAGAAGGGGTAGGCGCACATGAACTGTCTTGGTTTAATAATTTTTATTTATTATCTATTTTCATCTATTTGACAGGACATTGCGAGCCTGGCCAGCCCTAACACTTTAGGGTTGCACAATAAAGTGTATTATTTAGCTTCGAACACAGATACTAGCTAATTTTCATCCATAGTCCCTATAGGCAGAAGCAAAGTCAAACTTACAGCAGGTTTACTCTTTGCAAAAATACATTGAATGGCCTAGTTAGCATTTATAATACAAGTATAACCCAGAGATGCATTATCGCAAACTTTAGAATTTAAGCTGCTCAAAAGAACTAGGGGACTTTCTATACAGCGACCTGCTTCCCCACAAACATTTCCCCGATATTCTTCATGCATCTTTTATTTCTGTCTTAGATTTTTTTCGAACTCAATCTAGAGTTTCAGGGCTCCACTTTTGCGTCGTTCACATCATATTTCTGTAAAAAAATCTCTGCTGCTTCAAGGGTTAATATGGGAAAAAACACAAAGAGAAGGGCAAGTGTAAAGACAAGTGTAAAGTCGCTTTGTTTCATGTTAAAGCTGATTGTCTTAGCATCACTCAGGAAGTTTGCTCATTTCCCTTTAGGCAGCAGCAGTCGTTATTCATAATTCACACAGCCATTAGCTTTCAACTCATACAAGTGCCTTACGCATTAGAGGCAATGATGATACTTCGGCGAGGATTTGCGTTGGGATTTGCTAGTTCTTTGAACATTTAATTGACTGAAAAAGTGACTAATACAACATCTGATGCAATTATTGTTGAAAGGACCATTGGAAAATTCTGCTTTCTGGTGAATTAAAGTTGGTGAAAGGTTTGCAGTAGGTGAATTGATATCATATGAAATGGATTATTTGTCATGTGCCCCTACCTCTGACGGTGCATGCTGCTCCTCTCTCTCTCTTCCAGAACTGTAGCCCCCCAAGAGTCAGCCCTTTGTGCTCTCCTGGCTTAAATAGCCGCTGAGCGCATGACCAGACCTTACTGGAGCTTGTATAACCACACACACCATGCACTATGCACCCCACACTCAAAAATGCACTTGAGGCTCCAAAGTTCTTTCTTAAAACTCATTCAAAGCCCTCGTGATTCGCCAAGTGTTTGAGAATACCTCTGTTATTATTCTACACGTCATCCAGCTGGAGGACATTTAAAAGTCAAACTTTAAGCGTTTATAGACTTGTAATAGATTTTAATATTTGAATGAGTGTGAATATGAAAGAAATGACAGAGAACAGATTTATTTATACCATTATTAACAAATGGCAACCAAACAGGTTTTTCTTATATAGAGATATAGATCTATATAGATTTTAAATACAATTTCTGAATTAATTGGCACATTTTCCCCATTCATATATACACCCTTGTTAATGAAAATTCAGACACATGCCTATGTACATACACATAATAAAAAGGGATGAATCACAGTCTTGCATTAACAGTACAAAGAAAGTGTATTTTGCACATTTGTTAAGTTTCACTGGACAGTGGTGTTTGGGTCCGGTCTTCAGACTGGAGTCCTGCGGTCTGGTTAGGGCTGAGGCTCCGTGCTGTTGGGCCTCTCGTCTGCACATAGCTCTGACATCGGTATCACCTGCTCCATTTCCTGTTCAATTTTGTTCTGCAGCAGCGTAGAAGCTTTAGAAGCATCTAAAATTGTGCACCTGTGAGAAAAGGTATTTTAGTGTAAGTGTGAGAGAATAACATTCAACAAATTAATTGCAAACATGCTAGCTGGCTGGATGTATTTACTCTCTGTGATAGGATTATAACGATGCAACAATTTTTTTATGCTAAACATTGTGACAAAAATCTTTGTTTACTTCTTGTGTTCTTCAGCAGATGTTTAAAGCAGATCGTCTTTGAGTTTATGACAAGTGAACGACTATGGATGTAAATAGATTCTTTTATGTTATTGACAAATTGCAGGTAACGATGCTCTGCGTTCACTTTTTCATAAGAACACGTTGTTTGTTTTGTGATGAGCCTCAAGGGCTCACAGCCATCTGAAGTGAACTCCAGATGTTTAATGTCACTTTGGCAGCTCATTGTGTGAGGAAATCTGTCGCATCGCGAAAGCTTTATGCTTTCACCAAGTCCTTTTTCAAAGGTGGAACAATAAAAATATGAAAATGTTGAATGTGCATTACTATATGTATAGTCTATATACTCCTTTATAGTATTAAATACATGATCTTCACTGTCAGATAGCCTCTGAGTGAGGCCCTAGTGGTGCTAGATTGTTATTTTTTAATGAATTTTACTGTTATTAATTTCTTATTTGGATGGGACAGTGGATATTAATGAACAAGCAGGTGCTAACTGCTGTACCATCGTGCATTTTGTCTTGGTGTGTTACCTTTTGTTAGTTTCAATGTGTCTTTTACTCATTATTCCTCTTTCACACATACCTACCCACACACACACACACGCACACACAGTCAGGTTTTCCACACCGCCCTCTTTAGCTCACTATTGATTCATGGTTGTGGCCTTGATAAGAAGACATAGACGTCTTACACCCACTAATGCCTGGGTTCATGGGACTCATGCTCTCATGTGACAAACAGAGCACACGGCTTAGAGCTAGAGGGAATCAGCTGAGAAGCACACAACTGGTGCCTGCTGCTAAAATACCAGTTTTCAGGTCAGCGCACCACACTCACCAGGGATCTGTGTGTCTGGCATCCGGCTGCTGCTGCTGCTGCTGCTGCTAACAAGACTGTAATTGTGGAAGGAACTTTAAGCAGAAAGTCACGCTCCCAAACTGAATATGGAGGCTCAGCAAAGTCACATAATGCACTGGCATGTCAACTTTGTTTGAAAACTGCTCTGGATTATTTCTTTTTACAGTTTCAGCATGAAATGGGAAGAGAGGTCAAGCATAGATGGGATCAATTTGCAACATTAAGGCTTTTCTGATAAACACTTTTTTATTTATTTTTTTGCATTAGGCATAAATTACAAAGACTATTTAACCTGAACCTACATTGTTAGCTAACACTACATGTATTTCATCTGAATTAAAGTCAACTAATGTGACCAACAAATTGAATAAACGAAAGAACAAATGGACTAAACGTACTGTTGAGTGTCCCCATTGCCAGCTGGGAGTGTGTCATCGTTGTAGTCTCCTCCTGTAGCTGCGTCAGGCTCCACGCTGTTCTCTTCACAGGCCCTTTGTTGACTAGAGCTATTGAGAATGTAGCACAACATATGAATTTGTACTTGTCTCTACAAAAGTGCATGTTATATTCTAGCTGAGTTATGTACCGACCTGTTCTTGTTTCGATTTCTCAGGATATAGACAATGATGATTGTTGTTTCCAACACCAGAAGAACTGCGGCACAAATGGCACCAATCTTCCAGGCTTCAATGCCCAATTCACCTTTTTCTGTAGATACGTGTAGAAGTGACTGCCAGATAAGTCATCAAAAAAACTGTTTGCATTAAATATTTCTTGAAGGAAAAACTTAAGAAGTGAACTTAAAAAATGGACCCATGTATTTAGCCCTAATGATTTAGAGGAATGTGAGGTGTGTATTAGGATTTGTATTATCCAGATTACCTCCATTTCTAGCTGCATCGTCCACAAGCTCGTTAGCTTCTCCTCCAAAGTTTGATAGTAAAACAAGTTCATGCTTTTGCACTGGGGGCTCAGTATATATCTGGGACAGGATTTCTTCTCCCAGGGTCTCTGCTCCTGCCTCTGCTCCACTCCGTGCTGGGCTTGGAGGAGGGCCCTCGGGGGGCTGCTCTGGACTCAGGCCTTCTTCCTGAACGCCACCTTTGACATCCTCGAACGTCCCATCAGGAGCCTGCTGTACTTCTACAAGAAAGTTTTGGAATGTGACACACATGGAGACGACAGCTTTCTCTTAATGTTTCTTGAGTGGTCCCATGGAATATTTTCATGTTTGCAAACAATGTTGAAATATTTAATTTTATACTTATTATTATTATTCTTTTTAGAAGCTAAATTAAGGCATTGGAATGGTGTTTATATGAGTAGCCTTGTGAAAGTACTGTACAATAATAGTGATGATGCATAATTCCCGCGAATGTGAAGTGACAATGTTTGTTGTTGGCATATGTCAATTCTCGTTCTTATTCATTGGATCAGTGATCTTCCGAGCATGTATCTCACCTTGATTGTGGTCGTTACTTTTATTTGCCTCCTCTGAAGCATCTTCCTCTTTTTCCAATTCTTCAGCCACTTTGTTTACTATTGATCCTGCTTCAATCACGGTCTCTCCTTCACCCACCTCCTCTGCCTGGACACCTATCTGCTCACTGTCCACCTCTTGCACTACTAAATTGCCTTCTACGGCCCCTGTGTGCATCTCATTGTCCAGGAGTCTATTAGTGTCCAAGGCCTGCTCAAGCGCGTCACCAACAATACTTTGGGCAGATTCAATTAACTCTTCTGCTTTTTCAATCACAGATTCCTGCTCAAGATTTTCTAACTTTGGGCTCAAAACTGTAACCACCTCTTGTTCTAGTTCTTCACGTACCACCATTTCTGTGGCTGAGTCCAAATCTACCTGTATGTTGATAGTTTCTTCCTTATTGTTATCTGTGTCTGCAACCTCTTCATTTTTTTCTGGCTCATACAAGTCTGATATGATGGTCTCGATTTTGTCCCCCACTATAATTGCTCCATCTTCAAGTGTTTCAGTTATGTTCTGCTCTGCACCTGTGTCTTCTAATATGACTTCCTCTACCTGTCCGGTGGCACCATCTTCCCCTGTCACTGCCCCTTCCTCGGTCACTGCTCCTGGCTCCTCCACTTTGGGCTCCCCTGCACTCTCTGCTGCTCCCAGAGCAGCCTCCACCACCCGCTCCAGCAGCCCTTTCAGCACCTCCTCTGCCCCCTGGCCCTCCCTCTCCGAGGCCTCCTGCACAGCCTGCTGCACCTCCTGCAGACTGGGAGCGACAACCACAGGGACCACCTCAGCCCCTAGCGACTCCTGCTCCTGAGGTAAGGCCTGAGATTCATCGTGCAGACTGACGGCACTGGACAGGATGGCCGAAGTTAAATCTAGAACCGAATATAGAGGTATGTCATGATCAAGCAACTTTTAAGTTCACATAAGTGCAACAATTTCAATGAAATCAAAAAAATATGCACATATACAAGGGGTGTCCAAACATTATGGCAAAATGCCATACAGACCAACTGTACTGCACTCTTTCAACGCACTCTATTTGTGAATTGACCCATTAGAAAAGCATTTTTGGTGGAAAATGCTATTGTACATGTTTTAGTGGTAGGGAATGTCAGATCACCTACACACAGGTAGGCTGAGTGGATAGCCCTTTCATTTCTCAGCAAGAAGGTCCTGGGTTTGAATCCTGGTCGGAACAGTGATTGGAGTTTGCATGTTCTCCCCATTTCTGTGTTGGTTTCCTCCGGGTGCTCCGGTTTCTCCTACTACTTAAAACAAGTACAATAGTTTTGTCATGTGTACCATCTGCTATGTGAAAGTTTCAAAAGGAGAGTTTGGACCCCCCCAATAACAACTTGATTAATCAAGCATATAAATCAAATCATGTAGTGCATTTGGTAATCTATATTTTTATATTGTGCTTTTCATAGACCAGGGTTATCAAATGTACTTTACAATTAAATATGAATTAAATTATTTCAAAGATGTAAATAAAACACACCAGAGATGCCATACCTTCAGCTGTGCTGTGCCGTATCAAGAAGGCTATTATTAAACCTTTCAAAATACTGTAGTCCATGTTGGCATTCAAAGTAAAATTATCATCCAAAAGACTCGGAGACCTCTGCGTCCACCTGCGAGTGTGTATTGACCAGTGAGTGTAGCCTAAAGACAGCAGGACGGTAAATTGGACAGAGGTCGTGATGTTAACAGGTGACGCTGGCGTGAGGGAGGGTGCAAAAGAAGTAGCGCCATGTTACATTTTGTCTTTTCGTTGTGCTACCTGCAGGACGGGAGATGGAGATGGGGGTGTAAAGTTGCACTCCACTGTAAAATGCTTTTGCAACCTGCACAAGGAGTGTGGTCGAGCGGGCGGCATGTCACACACATGGTTAACTCGGGGCTGAGCAATTATAGGCGGCCTGTGAGTTTAGGACGAGAGTGATTCTCCCCAACCACTCAAAAAAAACACAATGTACCTAATCTGAGGGTTTTTTACTGAGATTTAAAAGTGCAATCTGTTTAGTCCAGCTCTGTGAGGACATTAGGTGTAAATATAGCTTGAATCTTTTAGGAAATACCACGTAATACTTTGCGATGCTTTCATTCTCCACATAGACATGTCATGTCGCCAAGTGGCATCACCCACTTCCCTCTATGAAGTGCGTTGAGTGCTTATTTCCGTATACTGTATGTTATCGTGTTTTGGATCAGGTCAAGCCGATAATATTTTACAGTTGTCGAGTCGCAAAGAGAGTACGCTTATACGGTGATAATGTTTTGTGCTACTGATGTCTGTGTTTACATGGTCTTGTTACAATTGCTTAGGATTGTATGGATTAGGAATCAGAGGTGATAATCGTGTGGCCAGAGTTGTGATATCTTGGTGTAGGCATTGTTAGGACTTTGATAATGGGGTCACGCAGTCATCCTTTGGAGCTCACTCTTTCTCAATCATAGTTTTGACCTTTTTAGACCGCACACATATCTGTTGTACAGTATGTTTACCACCTTTTGCATTATAGGGCTGACGTGATTTAATGAGAAGGTCAAACTGTTTTATTTTTTTACTTTTTGACTTTTGCATTTGTTATACAAGCACATCAATACAAACTATACTCATGATCAAAAGGGTTAGGTTTAGGGTTATGGGCATTACTTATGAGGATGTTGTGAGGGCTTTTGCAAAGAATATAAAGTCTAATGTTATAGTCTGTAAATATGTATGACTAAAATGTGACACCTCAATAAAAAATAAATAAATAAAGAATGACGCCTTAAAACCATGAAACAATTGAACTCAAAATTTGAGAGAATGGAGCAGAAAACATTCACTGTTCATAATAGACAAATACATTAGGCTGCATGATAAGAACGGGATAAAACAGCATAATAACACAAGTAAGACATGTAAATTTATTCTAGTCCTCTGCGTTCCTCAAAAATAAGAGAGGTATACATGATTTTTTAAATGGAGTTTTGAAATTAGATTGCTAATTCATCATTTAGACTATTCCATAAGCGAACACCTCTCTCTAACTTTATATTATTTTTTTTGTATTGTCTTCAAATGCTTAAGTGAAACCCATCTTTTTGCCTAGATAGCCTTTTCTGTATCATTTACCATTTTACAGGCATTTTCCTCAAATATAATGTTTATCTCAAATGACTTTTTCTTTTGAGCGACAATACACTAATGTTTGTACTTTCATCTTGATTGTGACCAGGTCTTTGTCAACGCTTGCCTCTCAGTGAAATCAGTTGATTGTGGTCAAAGGCAGAATTGATCGCCTTGTCAAAAGACCAGTGTGACAAAACAATAACCCTGCCCCACGGTGCAGTGCTGCCATGTTGATTGCTCCAGTCTTAAAGCTAGGGTCCTTAATCTTGTTGTTTAGTGAAAATGGTATGAACAAATTACAGACTACACTGTGCTGTCTTTATCTTTATAGAAAACGTGTTATCCTGCATAATTGTATAGAGAGAGAGCTGTGAGTCGCTATATACTTTGGACTGAGATCTGATTGGCTGAAGAGGGGGTTCAACGATGCGACAGAGGCCAAACATATGCATGTGAAAACTAGTGATAGATTTGTGTTAGGTACCCTCGCTTTTAAAATCACAAGTGGGGAGAAAATCCAAAAAAACAAAACAAAAATCCTGCTGCGGTAATAATGAAGACTTTGTCACTGTCAATGTTGGAAAGAACCTGTCATTGTTGCTCTGTGTGAGTGCTCCCTTTGAAGCCGTGGGGGGCCGCACACTGATCTCCTCTTTCTATTGTGATTTTTCTTGACAATTCTCTGCCACATCCCCACTTCTGCATCAGTCTCTGTTCCCAGTCTCAAAACAAAACACAAAGTGAGACTTGGGGGGCTTCGGGGGAACAGCAATACATGTCTTTTTTTGTGATCCTGCGAATTTGTTCTTAGCGCAAACATTTCCGACATTCTTCTGTTCTGGAGGGATTTCATTCGTGATTGCTGGAGATTATGTTTGAAAGGTTAATGCAGTCACATGGGCTGCACATTGTGCTTTGTGCTACCAGGCAGTAGCTTTTGAAAACTCGTGACTGACCTGGAGAAGGGGATTATTGTTTTTATTACATATGTTTTTTTTACGACCATAGTCCATTTTAAAATGTTTGAAACCTTGTATATTAAGTTGAATGTTAAGAGTTTGAATGTTTTGTCAGCTCATGTGTGTTTTGGGCGGAGCTGTGTCGTCCTGTGATGCCATAAGAGTTACTGTCTGTATTTCACATGTCACTGCTGAAATTTCGGTTGTGCTTTGCTTGAAAAAGGGGGTGTGAGTGAGTAACCAATACAAACTCTCTTGGCAGTTACTAGTGGGGATATAATAAGAGTATAAAAGACACTGGCTTAATAATAACTTCCTATTTCCATAGGATAATATAACTTTTGCATTCAGAAACTTGCAGATACTGTGACGTAATGAAGATTTGAATGTTGATGTACTGTTCTTTTCCTTGGTTATTTCCTTAAAATGTAAGCTGCATTTTGTTAGTATTAGATAGCAATATGGCCTACGTGCCGGACTGTACAAGGACTCTGATGATGACTCCATGTTTTGACTATGATATACTCGTGACTGTCTCTGTGACACGTATGTCTTTCGATGTGTGACGTGACAATGACTATATAAACTGTGTACTGCCTTTATTCTGTCTGAAAGAAACAATTGAAACCACTGGAACTTGAGAGAAACATAAATAAGCTTCCAGAGTTTGGCGCACCACGATCCTTCTGTCTTGTTCATTCCTGACAATTTCAGATAGAATTATTATCTTATTATTTATTGTTATTTTTCAAATTGGTTTATTGGACTGGTCTAATTATTATTTGTAAGATGAGTGATACCACCACTGCAGGGAAATATAACAAATCTCAACATCAGATATATGATAGATTGCTACAGATGTTATTCTTTGAGTGTCACTATTTGCACTTAAAGCTGGAGTACCGACATTTTTTTATTTATTTTTCATAAATAGTGTGTCTGATTTCTTACATTTTGCCAAAAAAATATGCCCACAACCTGCAATTTGTATCTTTTTGTTATCTTTTACATACTGAGAGCTGACAGATATTAATACATAGTGTTCTGTGGTTTCAAAGTTACATATTCCATCTTAAATAATATAAACATTTCTGTTTATAACAGGCGTCTCTGACTGTTAAACATAGTCTATTAATCTGTTTGGTTTTTGTTTGCTTTGTGTTTTAAACAAACTCATTTTAAAAAGATTTCCTGTTCTTTTTCCATCCATGTTTCCGTGACATATTTGGGTTGAGTTTCCTCCCCAGTGTTTGTCCAGCTTCAGTTGCTGTCATGACACAATCCTTTTCATTTTTCGCCTGTATCTGAAAAATGTTCTCATTGTAGTCCACAGAATTGCTCTCGGTGTCTCAGCGTGTCGTCTTGTTCACTTGCGTGCCTTGTTCTTGAAGGATTGCTCCCTGCTAAAGCATGCTGGAGTTTTTCTGAGTAATGGAAGTGCACTTACAAGGCTAGAATTCCCATGAGGAGGGCGGCGGGTGGAAAGTTGTCAATGGCTTGTTAAAATATCTAGAGCATTGAATAGAGGTTCAGAGATCACCGCCAGAGTCCAGCAGATGGAGCTGTCCCCAGTTAAAGAGGAACGATGAGCAAGGTCAGTTTTTGGGCCTACAGTGATTGACATCGTTTGACTTTCCCTAAATGTATAACTAAATATCTGTTTCTATTCATTTAAACACACAATTTAAGATTACAAAAAGACATTTGTTTCATCTTCAGTCTCCTGCATCTACTCCCTCGCTCCACCCTCTCTACTGCTCTGTCTCTGTCTGTAATCTCAGGAATTTTTCAAAAGGATGTTCCCCTCCAAATATCTAGGACATCTTTTTAGGTCACCATTAAAATGATCCGGCAAAGTTATAAATCATGCAGGGGAAGTTACCTTTTTTTGCATATATGGAGATCTGAGTCTTTTCCTGCCGACACAAACAACAACAACCAAATAATGTATGCTCTCATTATTATTCCCATTTAGAGTTCTAATTTATTCGGCCTTCGCGGGGAACAGCCGTTTCAAAGGAAAACTATGAAGTCTGGCTCGTTGATAAGGCACAAAAGTGTAATCAAATTATTCAGTCACCCTCTCTGTTTCTCATTTTCACACATACAGTTTTGAACCCATTGCGTCAGTGCATGTCTCAAACTCTTTATGCAGGATTTGGAGTGAATGTGCATGTTCTTTGGCTGTTCAAGATTTTAAAAGGAGTTCAACAATCTGAAATGAAGAGACATCTGAAATCCTGTATAGCAGCTCCATATGTTTGGAACGATTGATGCAAAAAAGGAACTGCCAACAAAATCCAATAACTCCCACTCTCAATTGTACAGTACTTCCAAGACAGGGACTTCCCATTATACATTATATTAAACATAGATGTATAAGCTTTGAGGCCAAGATCATGAATGCATGTGAACGCTGTACACGCCTGTCAGAGAGCAAGGAACATGTATTACATAGTTTTTGTGATTTATAGAAGATTTTTTACATATTATTCTTGA